CTTGTTCCTCACTCTACAAGAATTTGTATGTCAAATGTTCGGCAGCATTTGCAGCAGCTGCCCTGTGTTGTCAGCCGCACTTTTAAAGTTTCCCTCGGGCGTAGAACTTAAGGGGTACCCCGTTTTTGCCACACTTTTAGTAATTTTGCCTGGGAATTCTACCTGAGCCATCGGAGACATACTAGGCGACTGTATGCCGCTGCATGCTAGGCTAACATGCACATCATCTGCTCTAGTTACTTTGGCGACCCCGGTCAGGTCAGGTCAGGTCAGATGGACGATAGAGGCTTCCGCCTAACGAGCGTCCAGTTCTTGTGCCGGTAAGTGAAGCGACCCCCGGCACTTCGACGTTGGATTGTCTCTTCTTGCATCTGCAATGGAATGAAGCAAGAACAAGAGCAATCTCTGCACTTTCATATGCCAGCATCAAAATACACTACATATTAAAGTACAACTACAATATTTCTGGAAAAAGGATGGACCAACAATTGTCTAAGCCCCTTTTGAAGGCTTCTACGGTCTCAGACTCCACTAAATCAGAAGGGAGTTTATTCCAGTAGTTAACTACCCGGTTCGTAAAAACTTTGCCCTGATGTCCAAACGAGCTCTGTGATGTTTAAGCCTCAGGCGATGCCCGCGCAGATGGTCTGACGTAGCCAGTTCAAACAGATGGGTGGAACTAATACCACTAAGTCCCTTAATGATCTTAAACGTCTCTATCAAATCCCCTCTCAACCTACGCCGTTCCAGGGAAAATAATCCTAAGCTACTTAGACGATCTTCATAAGACTTCCCTCGTTGACCTTCAATCATCCTGGTCGCAAGTTTCTGAATCTTTTCTATACAAGTGATGTCACTACGGAGGTACGGTGACCAGGCTTGAACGCAATACTCCAGATGTGGCCTGACCACTGCTTTATATAAGGGCAAGAATACTTCTGCTTTAGTGTTACTCAGCGCCCTCCTAAGACGAAATAATTCGTGTCGTGCTTTATTGGCAGCATGGCGACACTGTGCCGAAGGCTTAAAATTGTTCGCTACGATGACACCTAGATCACGGGCTTCGTCAGTGCACCGCAATGATAGAAATCCCACAGGAGACTGAACTGCAATTCCGCTACCACTACTAGTCAATAGTTGACATTTGTTGGCATTTAGAGGTAGGTCCCATTGACTTGACCAATTCACCACAGTGAGGATGTCCTTAGCCAATGTCGCACGGTTTCCCCTACTGACCAGCTTCAAGTCATCTGCGAAGATGTAGCAGGGGTCCTCAAGAAGAGGAGCCAGGTCATTTATAAACATAAGAAATAGCAATGGACCCAGAACCGAACCTTGAGGGACACCACTGTAGGCATGACCAACACTAGAACTCGCTTCCCCAACGCTGACTCTAAATGTCCTTCCACGTAAGAATTCAGAGAGCCATAGTAGTAGTTGAGGATGCAATCCAAACCATGTCAGCTTCTCAATTAAAAATCGATGATTCACGGAGTCAAAGGCTTTACTGAAGTCTAAATAGCACACCTCTACCGATATCCCACCATCAAGACAACGGGTAATCTCGTCCAAAAAGCACAATAAATTGGTAAGACAAGACTTCTTTTTGAGAAAGCCATGCTGTTCCGCTCTAATTAGATTGTGCTCAGTCAAGTGCTCACAGATCCTGTTCCTTATAAGCTTTTCCAAGCATTTCAGCATGATGCTGGTCAAACTAACAGGTCTATAGTTAAGAGGCACCGACTTAGAACCCCCCTTGTGGATGGCAACAATAGTCGCCTCCTTCCAATCACGTGGCAGCTTGCCTTCTTGAAGAGACTGGTTGAATAACTCTACTACGGGATACTGGAGGATATCAGCCAGAGGCTTAACTATGGCGGGATGTACGCTATCAGGACCGGCTGATTTATAAGGCTACAAACTGGCCAGCACTGTGAAGACCTCTGACACATTGAGAATAATTTCCCGCATTGTGTAGCTAGTTGAGCAGTGCGGTAGTGATGGCAAGGCTGACCCACTATCCTTCCGATGCAGGCTTTGGTAGACACGTAGCAGCACTTCTACTTTATCGACGTCGTCTACAGCCTGGGTACCGTTCTCCATGGTTAGACAGCCGACCACCTCTCTTAAGGAAGCCTTTGACTGGACATAACTGTAATAACACTTGGGATTAGTTTTCGCAATTTTAGCCAACCTAAGCTCATATGAGTACTTCGCCTGCCGCTGTAGCTTAATAGCCATGTTTCGACACCTTTTGTACTGCAGCCAGCGTCGAAAGCCCCGAATTTCTTGATATTTTCTCCACTCAGCATTGCGCCTCTTTATCGCTCTATCAATTTTTCTTCTCCACCATCGGGGTTTCCCAAGATGTCTCCTAGGGCGAAGAGGAGCAAATTCATTCAGCAACTGTACAAGTCCACTTTTAAGTAGAAGCCACCTCTGTTCCAAAGTGGCCTTGTCCTGTTCAGGGACCCAAGTGATTTGAAGGGCTCGATCCCGCAATTTCGTAAAATCAATACGATTTAAATCTCTTCCCATTCGACGGTTCTCTGCAAGCCTCGGTGTGTCCAGAGAAAAGGTCAAAACACAATGATCACTCTTACCTATGGGTGGCTCCACGCATAGGTCAGTTAAGTGACCATGTCTGGCGATCACTATATCAAGGGTTGAAGGGGTACTCCCAGTACGACTTCTAGTCGGGACATTGACGTATTGCTCGAAGGCATTTACGTGCATCCAATCTACTAGTTCCTTCTCTAAAGTACCCACTCTGTTTTCAGCATGCTGCCAATCAGCATGCGGAAGGTTTAGGTCACCGACGATCAGAAAATTAGGTGCGGCTATTGCCGCCTGTCTTAGTAACATACCAAGATCCCTGTCCTCTTCTCGGGTAGACGATGGGCTACGATAAACACATACTATAATCTCCAATTTACCCCATGCTCTTAGATAGCAGGATACCGCCTGAACATTAGCAGAACTCATGGTAAATGGAGCCTCCCAGTGTTTATATTGGCACCTTATAAGCAAGAGTACTCCTCCACCGGTCTGATACCCGGGCCTGTCAGCCCTGTAGCACGCAAAGTCTATAAGCAGATCACCAATAAAGTCATCTGAAGAGAGCCAGGACTCGGACACAGCGGCCACATCAACATGCTCACAACGTGTCACTAATTCCCCCCATTTGTTACGCACACTACAACAATTAGTGTACCACACGCTTAGTCTCTCCGAACGCGGTTGTTTCCCCTCGGTCATAACTTGTTTTGTCATTCTACAGTGGGCAAGCCAAGTCATCAGCAGTACGCAGTACCGATGCTTCTCTACCGCGCGACTGTCATTAGTCGCACGTTGGCTGAGAATTTTACGGTCCCCTACACAGACTTGAACCCGCGCTCTCAGATTACAAGGTAGATTTGTGCTACTTAAGGCTACGGGCCAACCAGATTATCTAGTCTTCGCGACCACTCCATCAAGCTAGAAACACCATAACCTGATTGGGTTAGGATAGATGCCCGTTTATCGCATCGAGTTTTTGTGCACTGAAACTCACTTCCAGAGGCCGTGGCCAAAGTATCGATAATGAAAGTTTTGCGTCAACTAGACGCCCCTGAGTGTTAATACAAAATTTTCTATTCTCAACTGACTTCCCTCTTTGAAGTGACTTTCTTACATTCTTACAAGGCTTAGTATTATTAATGTTTTAAGTGAGATTCCGTTCCTTTTTTGATTTGCATCCCTTAATCTTTCTTTTTTCATCTCACTGGCACAGTGGGGATTGTTAGTGTCGGATACGTTGGCATTACTTAGTTTAGCTGGATGTAAATCGGACGCCTTGTTTACTAGAAATTCAATACAATTTGGTTATCTCCGGTTCAACGACGCACTCAGGAAGGTACACTCACGGGGTTTTCCAACGGTTCCAGTCCCACCTTGACTTATGCGTCCAATGCACCATGGCGTGATGCGGGGAACGAGATCCTCACTTCTCATGTCTTAACTGGGAAGGTCGGTACATATTTGTCTAAATTGATTATCGATGGCGGTTTATTTGGCCTCCGCGCTCGTCCGATGAATCTGCACAGACCGTGATCTGGTTGAATTTGGACGGTAAATTCACTTACCGCACTGAATTATCGAGCACTGAAACTCCTTTCCAGAATATGTTAGAGAACTTACGGTTAACGGTTTTGCGCTTTAACTGGACGCTCTTGGGTAGAAATACGAAACCTTTCACTTCTTACCAACTCACATCTTCATGCCTCGATTCTTTCTATACCTAACACATTTGTATCTCCCTTGGTTCAAATGACCATTTTCTGTTTCGTTCCTCCCCCGTAACCAACGTAGAAGTATTGCTAGTGCAGTATATATGAACAGTAGCTTGTTGGTCATGGTGTTATGGGAGTAATTCGCGAGCATTACTAGTCCTCAGCCAAGCAACTATTCCCATTCTATTACAAACTCAAGATCGAAGGTGAATACTCTGTTAAGAATCTTTCCGGACAAACTTTCATCAGACCCTAACATTTACGTTGCAGATATTATACATTGTTAGCGTCAAATCGAGCTTGGAATTGATTTCTAAAATGTTTAGATAGCTTATTTGATGATTTAAGGTGATTATAGATAGTAAGTTAGATAAACAGGAAAATTGACACTCCAGCGTTCAGCCTGCTCAACGGTTCTGCTGCGGTATCCTTAAGCTGGTACAAATTCGAATGGAGCAACCGTGGTGGTGTTTCTCTTTGCGTTGTAAAACGCATTTTTACCGACCTTATCAACAGGTTACATCCTTTTGGTGGGCCTCTTTAGTTGTATCGCATTGCATTAACTTGGGTGGTTTCTGCTGGCTGCATTGTCATCTCCGTGAGTTCTTCTATCTATATTTTGTGTCATTGGTTAGCTCGCATTTTTATTATAATATTGGGAGATTTTCTGAGCGGTGTATGTGTGGCTTTTCGTTCCTGTCGCTTTTATTTTCCATTGCTTTCTTCTCAGCTGCTTTAGATGTTAACAAGATTGTCATCATGTGAATTTACCGACCGACTACTCTGAATTCCTTATCGAACGGAAAAGTGCCCACTCACACTCCACACTTGGGCAACATTTTCCCATTACTCTTCCATCAGTGGTGGTGGTGATACTCTTGACGTACGTTTCAGATTACCTGCAAATGTGGAATAATCTCACAGGTACACCCTTAATTTCATCATCGCCTCTCTTTTAGTTCACCCTATACTGTTTTGCTTTTTGTATTCATTTTTATTCGTATGCAGCCTATATTTTGTTCGAACAAAGTTACCAAGGTACGCTGTTATTTTTTTTCTGGATGCTAGTATCTAGGAATCATCCGATCACCATTAGGAATAGATTTGTCTCTGTGACAGTGGCTTCCCTCATCATTATACTGCATGTATCCACTTTAATCCGTCGATATGACTACCCTTGGGTAAGTTGTGTATTGTGACAGATGACCGAGAGTGTGTCAGTCAACCGTATACATTTACGATTGGAAACAGATCTTCATTACACTAGATAACTTTTGGTCTATCATCTTGTATTCTACCGCTCTGACTTTGGTAAGCGCAATTCTCAACATACAAAGTCGTCTCACCCAGGCTCCATACCTCGGAACACTTGTGGACCGCATGTGCAGCGGACAGCTGTATGCACTATTCAGTATGTGCTTAATCTTCAGTATTGTTGACCTTGATCACTAGCTACTGTCCGGGCACGCATATACTTTTTTATTGCGTGATTAACTGTATTCTGTATGCGTGATACCAGTTTTTTCTTCATGCTTACGCAGTTCATCAACTCGACTGGTTTCACACTGGTTGTGCACATTTATCTTCTTCTAGCTCGCTCTGCGGAGAGTACAATTTTCTTTCCAGGTTGCATTCCAAAACACTGAACAAAGTCGGTTGGTGATTTTCAACCATAGTTTACCGTGCAAACACAAATACGCTTGTCCTGAGTCAGAAAGGAAGGCCTACAACATTTTGTTTCTTCTGACTTGACTTCACAGAGTAAAACTACCTATTCCGGCCCCATGAACCCAGGGTCTATTGTTCTCCCGGTCAACTTACTTTTTTCACATTACCTGGTAGATCCTTACCCGCGTACCTCCCTGCCATAACGCTACGACTCGACCTTACTGAACATCCCGTCCTCCACACAACGGGTTATTTTTATTGCTATATGCGGCATTCAGCTACTCATCCCACCATACTAAACTGTCGTCATGGTTCCACACATAGATCCACCTAATTCATGGTAGTGAGATAAGTACACCTCTCAGCCTCATATGTGGGCTGGACTATTGCCGGGAAATCAACCGCACGCAAGTGTGTGATTGAACCAGGAACACCAGGGTCGCGAACCAAGCATCGCGGATTCCCATAGGAGTAGGAGTCATTCGGTCTATCATTATTTGTATCTGTACATACGGTTTACTGAAGTATGTACTCTCTCTTCTCTACCAAACTGCAGTGTTAAATTCGTCAGGATATTGCTAAGCAGGGTCTGCCGGTAGCATTCACCATTCCCATCACTATAGGTGTGAATCGTTGTGAGCATTTATTGTGTCATTGCTGATAGACAGCATCTGATTTCATCACGATCCATCTCTTGTCTTATGCGCCCCATCCCATCTCAAGTTTTGGTGCACACTTTAAGCCTTTCTCCCCATCCTTCAACCTCGTCTTGCATCGACTCCCGCATCGGTTCGAGAAATTCTCTCTATTTACTGCATACACCAACGCCTATTAGCGAAAACTGGCGACTACTCTCTGCTCTCTTCCCTTTTATCTACCCTTCCTCCTTGTATCCCCAGCTCCCCATTACTTGCCTTTCTTTGACACAGTAGCAACAGCGGCGGTACAACTCGCTGTTCACGTGCATCGATATGATGTGAACATTTAGTGCTCTATGCACGAACATCTAGTGTCACATTTGGATTTGTGATGATTCGTCTGCTTCCGTTTCGACAATAAATGATGTTCACCAGGGTTGTACTATTTCGTCTTCCATATTCATTTTTGTCTTTGACTCTTTTTGGGGGTTGTCTTCTGCTGTGTCTCAAGATGCAAACATTGTGATCCTATCGGTTTACTCCTAGTACTCGGACAACTTCGTCTTGATGATGGTACCCATCTGGTCAGTGATGGCATGGAATTATAGGTAGTCGTTAGTTCGAAAACCCTGGTGGCTGCAGTGGTAGGGAGATGAGTTTCCCAGTTCTTAAGAGGGTTTTCACTTTACTTACCTACAACATCTTTACAATCAGCACAGTAGTTCCCATGCGTTTGAAAACTTTACTCGGGAACACAGCGAACATGGTCGGCAGTAACATTTGGTTCCTTCACTCTTTTTTTGCCGCCACTTACCAAACTTCTGTTATGTGGCACCGGTGTGTCCGCAACGATGGGGCGAACATGTGAGTTGACACTGACGGCCATCCCAGTTCGTTAAATCAACAAACGAAATTGAATTGATTGTATTGCCTTTGGCACGTGCTACATATTCCAGATCACCACAAGCCTAGGATAGGTTTGCTTTACTTCCTCGAAATTGGACGGCACAATATTTGAGGGAAACCGCAGTCATTGACGTAAGAAGCGGGGTCCCTAACTGCTGAATTGAGAGATGGCGTTGGTGTTCATGCTGAGAACCCCACTCCCACTCTACGCTTGGCTTATGACATTACAGGACGGTGCTTCCAACTGGCATCAGTGACGCGTTTGCTATTGACTCTTAATTTGACTACCTGTCTAAGTTACACCATTCTTCCTGTGGCATATTAGCTGAAGTGTGTTACTTACCTTCAACTACCATGCCATGATGATTATGACGCAATGACTGTCTCTTATCCACTGATCTCCATGGTTTTTGTTGGCTTTTGTCTAGTTGATAGACAGCTGAGATTACTTAAGTTACACTTGATGATATAAGTGGAAATTCGTTACACCTATGCTCAGTCAGACAGCCATCATACGCCTGGAAAAGCAATTCACGGCCTTTTTATGCTTCTGGGAATAGTCAGCAGTGTGCATTCCATCTGACTCCCGCGAGGCCGGTCCGTAGCCTAAAGATAACGAGCTTGTCTTGTAATCTGACGTCGCAGGTTCGAGCCTGCGTATGAGCAAGGCAACCCTCGCAGTATCCTTAGCTTACATGCGACCGGTTATGATTGCGCAGCAGCGACGCGTCGGTACTGCGTACCGGGGTACTGCTGATGCCTGTGTACGCGGGGCTCGAACACTGTTTTTGAGACCACTGAGCTACGGGGAACGGTAATGACCAACGTGACTGGGTCACTTGATGTGATATAGCGCTGCTGCCTATCCGCTAACTTGCACCTTGTCGTCTAGAAGATGATTGTTTATGCCACGAAGTCAATGACCAGCTATTTGCCATCGTCCTATGCTAGGATGGTGTAGGTACCTTGATTCAAAGTGCTTGTTTACTGCATCCGGACCACCATTCCACTTCATTTCTTTACTCATTAGTCGAATTTTACTTTTGATCAATAGATGTATTGCAGCTAACTGCTAATAATCAGCGCTGATGGATGGACTCACCTACAGCCAGTCTAGCTTGACCTGTCGTCATGAATGTCGCATACGAACCCTCGGTAGCTGTTTATTGTGTGTCGATGCTGCCGTTGCATTAATGCTGTGCTGTGTCTTTGATTGAGTGATCTGATCCAGATCCTACCTGATCCATCTTTTTACTTTCGGCGTTTTTATATTCTCAATCATGACATCCATCCCTTGGTGATAGTGGTATCTTCCTCACTTATGCATTTTTGAGTATTTCAGGCGGGGAGCTTTGGGAGTACCGTCTGTTCAGTTGGGTCAGCGTGCGAAATCTGATTGTCGCCCCCGCCGCCGAAGAGCTTATCTTTCGCGCTTGTATCCTATACCACCTGTTGCCACTCTACACTTCATGTTGGAGCTTGTGCGTAGTGAGTCCTTTGTTCTTTTCAATCGGTAAGTTTTGCTCTTTGATAGGAATCAATTATTCACGTAAACATACACTTTTTATCATTTCTGTCGTCCCTACGTTGGTGCGTGTGTTGCCAGCATGATTCATACAGTCTGCTTACTTGACAATGGCAAAACTAGATGCGTCGTGGTGTCTAATTAATCCACCACTTATCTGTCTCCCATGATTACTCAGTTCGGCTCAATCTATTAAATGGGATCCGAAATTGTGCGACTTGCTGTAGCCACTCCTGCACACTTACGGGTCTATCAATTACTTCTATCTGTACAGCGATTGGAGTGGCTCGTCTGTATCATGGAATAAACTGATCGGAACGATCACCTGAGTCCATTGCTCTGTTGAAACATAGGAACATGACTACAAATGGTCTGGAGTATTTGTGACGATGATCTAGCTTTTAGTGTAAGATGAAAATGTAGCTGCTTCTCAGCCGAGAGTCTACCCGCCCTCATCTCATCCGCGGTTTGTGTTCCAGCTTGTTTCGAAGGATGAGCGCTTGTGTCAATCACTTTATTGCCTCCGGTACCAAACGGATATACCCGCGTTTGATTGGAAATTCTCAATCACCATTTTGTTCCATAGCCGCAATAATCGATTCTCCCCATTAGGATACGCCAGTTTCTGTCGATATCTTTGTAAGCATCTGAACCGATTTTCTACAACCAATTCCACCATCATTCTTAGCGCTTTTGATTGCCATTCTAGATCAACATCTTGTGCTCGCTTGGAGAGTTGATGTGCAATTTGAACTCCAGTTTTAGCTTTGCTCCCTAATTTACCCTGATGTGGTTCAACTCATGCTATTTGAGCATAATTTCACTCAGTGTCAAGAGGCCATTCGATCTGTTCTTAAAAATTATCCACTTAACGAACCAGATGATCCTCGTTAGTTTGAATTTTGGCCACCGATGCCACCCCCGGTAGTTTCATTAACGGATAATTTCACAGGACCAGTGGCGCAGCTTGGTTGGGTGGACCTGTGGCTCTTGTCTTCCGCTTCTGTGTGTACCCTTATTCAATCCCTGCAGTAAGAGAAGCATCTGTTCAAGTCGTTCGAGCACAACAGCGCGTGCCCACAAAGCTTCATCCGCGGATGTTTAAATTGCAAGCCCACAAACACCGAGTCGATTCCAACGGCAGGGAAACGGATCATTTTACCATGCATAAAGTACATATATGACAACCAAATTGTTTGAACAATACTACATCATGCTGGCATGCAAGCCGATCGCCACTTTGCGAAAATCACTGTCAAAACCAAAAGGAAAACAAGAACCGCATGAACGGGGAAGTGTTGTGTACAAACTAAATCACGCAAATTGTTATGTGCACTTTATGGGACAAACAGGAAGGTATCAGCAAGGACACAGGAACGTAGAGGAGCATGCGAAAAACATTATGCAACCTCACTGCGATTAACGGTTGGTTATCCTTTGGCTGCGTTGTCAGGACACTCTTGGTGGATTTATCGTTTCCTTTCTGCTTCCACAATTTCTCGATCACGTTTTGTGTGGTAGCTTTCCATAGACTTCAGAGTTCCGCCCTGCAAATTCCACTTTACCAATTTATGTCACTTCTGACCACTTTTCGAAATACCGAAGAAATCACCTTGTGACTCCTATTCGAACAAATGCCTTGACGTGCTTGGCTTGTTGTGCAAGATTTCATGTGTTGTTGGATTGCCTGCCGATTCTTTTCGTCTTTTGCATTCTCTATTCCTCAACACGATTTCATTCAAGCTCTGTGCAACGATTTTCGCAGTTGAAAGCGCAGTCAGAGAGGCGTACAATGTCTGCCGGTACAGCTCGCAGCGAACAACCTCTGGCTGTGAGCAGTTCTAGACATTTGGTCACGCATAATGGCCTAGATTCTGTCCGACATTCAACCCAGCCTTCCTTCCCCATTCTCGCTCCTGTGACAATTCATTGCAACACCATGCTAATTTTTCCATGAGCGCGACACCAACTGATGATAGCGATCCACTGATTTAGTGCTCTGCTAGCTCTGAAGACCCAGACGAATGTCTAACGGTTGACGAACTATGGAAAACTCAACTATCGAGGAAGCCGAGAATCGAAGAGAAGCTTCGCGTTACTGGTCAACAACAACCTAGGTTAAGCACAGCTCGAGGCCAGCCTCCTCCCGCAAAAACCCCTTTAAACGATCACATCTGATGGTTTTCACGCGCCTGAGTCCACCGATCCAAGTCCTCAGGAACGCTACGGTCAAGATGTGGAGTGCTTACAGAGCCTTTTTGATAAGGTTCTTTATGTGAATGAGGACGGAGTGAAAGTAGACATGTCATCCGTCTCGACAAAAGCACTGCAGAGAAACGCCGACCTATACGGGTAACTTTTGCCGACGAGTCCAGTCTGAAGTTAATCCTGTGTCGTCTGAGGGGCGAAGTGGTGCGTATTCGTCCGGATATGGATCCAGCTGACCGAGCGCGTCTCAAGTATGCTATCATCGAGCTAAAGCGGCGAACCGGTGAAGGAGAAACAAACCTACTTATTGCAAAGTTTCCAGCGATTACGACACGAACGTAAATTTAGATAAATCGCTCGCTCACTCTTCAGACACATCCGGTAATTCCTACTGCGTCGGCCGGGGGCCGAGTGGTCTGCACGTTTGCTTTGCAACCATAAGGTCACCGGTTCGAATCCGCGTAGGGGTGGGTGTCCTTGCGGTATACTCAGCCCGCGCGCGACTGGTGGTGGTCGCGCGGCAGCGAAGCGCCGTTACAGCGCACAGCTGACACATTATTATTATTATTACTGCGACATGCGCGAAGCTTGGACTGTACACCCTGGCCTGTCCTCGAGTGCGAGTCATATATATATATATATATATATATATATATATATATATATATATATATATATATTCACAGTCTGTTAACAGACGTTGTGCCTTCAGAACCATGGCAGAAGAAAAAACTGAAGAAGATGGGAACATGAACTGCAATTAAAAAATATGGGAAACGATCTTTTTGGTTTTACCCACGCCATTTTGTATTTTTTGTTTTGTTTTGTGGGTTTTTGTATACATCAAAGGGATGGTAAAATGGCAGAACAACATTGACGCCACTGATGTCTGTTGCGGGCCATGACGTCTAATGTTTCCAACCACTGCGATTCAGCATCTCGTGGTCTCTAACCAGGAAGACGGACTGGTGTGACTGCCGCCAAACTTGAGGTTGCCTTCTTCATGATCTTTGGCCACGTCATTGACTGTCCACCACGGCACTTTTTCCAATCGCTCCCTGGGAGTGCAAATGGCGCTCGACGGGGAAGGCGATGGGCTGGCATGCGCAGGACGTGCCCGAGCCAACGCACGCGATGTCGGAGAATAACCTCCTGAAGACTGGCACTATTCGCTCCAAACACGCGGTCTCGCACCTCTGCGTTGCTTACGTGGTGTTGCCACCACACCTGAGCAATCCTTCGTGGAGAAGATGAACACGTTTGGTTGGTCACACTTGCTGATATGGCTAGGAGCCGACCTCAGTGGCGTTCGTGCTGTGAGTTTTTTTGTCCCACTCCATCCCTCTTAGCCTCCCCTTCCAACCACGATCTCATTACTTAACCTTATATAATTTTGCGTAGTAATTTTTTTGGTGCATAGCAGCCGGCTGGTAGCTTACCGGAACGATGCCCATCCGTTACCGGTAGCTCAGCCAGCTTGCACCAGTTGCTTTTTTCTCCTTTTTTTCTCTCTGTATTGCGGCACAGTAACTGAGGTGTTCCCCACCTCTGGCTAACGTGTAGTGTGATGAAGATGATGAATCCTTCGTAAACAGCGATTGTCGAAGACTAACAGCCGCTTCATATCTTCCGCGCGAGTCGACCTTATCATGACCTACCGCATTCTGCATCCAGGTGACTCTCCTATGCTGAGGCCACTGCTCCACTTGCAAATACCTTGCGGCACACGTGGACATCATTACGAGCTTGCGGTTTCAGATTTGAAGCGAGTTACCCAACCTTGTGTGCTTTAAACGGCGAGTTGCCAATGTTTGGAACAGTTTATCGGCCCATATCTTAGAAGCGAACCCGGTGCAGCACTTCAAAATCTTGTTGGATGTTGGATGTACATTTCTCTAATGTTGGATTCTGAGAACGACAACTCACTGATCATGATATCTCACAGCTGTGAATCCAAATTTGCCGTATGTTCTACGTTATTTTTTGCGATATCGTATGAAACGATCATTGTGTTGATAGATCATGGATGGTCTTCTAAACGTTTTTGTAATTTTGGATGCAGTTGTACAGATTCAAATTTCTACTTGCTCCCACAATACATTATTCAGTAGTCAGCATACGTGGATGAGGAAGGGAACAAAGCAAGATTCCTGACCCAAGCAGAAACACGTACATATTGCGAGTTCCTCTAGGCTTAGTTCCCCACCTACAATGAAACCAATGTGCCCATCGACATTGTTCCCATATACCAATCACTGTGACCGTAACCTCAGGTGGATCATTAATCACAGCTCGAGCAATGAGCAGGACATTCGATGTAAGACAGAATGCTGTTTCCATGCCTCCAGCACCAATCCAAGTGCCTCCTTTGGTAATTGTCCAAGCACAGATGCGGAGCACAATGAGTAGCCAATCAGAGCAGCCCAAAGTTGCTAACTCCAAAAGCCTATATAATGCATCGAGAAGTACATGGCGACAATCACATCCGGATTTGACTTCTATCAGCTTCTGTTACAAAACCGCCAACTCTACACTCAACGATGATGTCACCTCGACTCGTGACGAAACATTTGCGAGCAAATTAGCCAGCTTGGCGGACACCACAGCACCTGAAGACCCACTGGTCTTTCAGCCATCCAATACTCGGTACGGAGATCAACGATAGCATCGCTATTAGTATTTTACTGCACGAATCCCCCCCAACGCCGACGTCCTCAGAGTGAGAAGATACTAATCTAGCCTACAAGGCACTTCGCTTACCATTAGCCGAGACAGCTTTTCACTGTTATCGAATGAGGGTGTCGTTTACTCTGCTTCCCTTCAAGAATCGAGGCAAAGCAGCGATGTGCAATCACATGACCAGTCACCCACCTTTTAGCAAAAGTGCTGCAGTGAGCGGTGGACATATTTTTCCTGAAAATATTTTAGCCCACCGTCGTCTGACAACTGAAGGATTCCAAGTACTAAACCGATGTTCGCTGTCTGACCGCGTGGTTGCTTAGAAACAGTTAGGATTCAGCAAACAGTTGCATTGAGCGTTCTTTCTTGTCACCTCGCCCGAACTTTTCGCATAACCAAAGCATTTGTGGAGCTGTTCTAATTCTCGTGTCCCAGCGGACAGAACTACTTCGGAAGTGGTAGAACTGGGTACAATCGTCTTGGGCAGCCTACAGACTGCACTCGTTTAGAACACTGACAAATAGCATCCAACACTCTCAGCCAAACCCCACACGGACCGATGTTTACGCAACACTACTTATGACTCGATACTTCAGCTGATGACGGTACTCAATCTTGCTTAGATCTGTGAATGCTCCGCTATCACTGGGATGCATATAACCAAATAATTGAATGTGACTGCAGTGGAACTTGCCATTATAGAAACATCTACTTGGGCATCCAGTGTGTGTGTGTGTGTGTGTGCAAGCGCAGCCCGTTGACTTCTCTGTCTTGATATGTAGATGGCAGAATGTCAGCAGTGCTTCGGCCGCTTCTATACGACAGAACCGCGCGAACACAGGCGTTGTAGACCCTGCCTTTTGCCTAGAGTGAAACGTCACGACGACGCGACAGATGCCTCAGATCAACGAAAGCTCATCGGGCTTTGGCAATACGTTGGGAAATTTCTGTTCCAATGGTATCGTCAGAAGAAACGCAGCTTCAAAGATAGCTGAAGCTATCTATTTGTTCAAGTTGCGCTTCTTCAAGAATCAGCACGAGGGCAGGTTGATGCCAATCCTGGAATGGGGCCTTGCATTTCGATGGAGCGAAAGTCATGTCATACTGGGTAGCTCCAATCACCTAGCGGTTTAGAACGACCTTCATTATCTGTAGTCGTCACCGAGCAAGACAATATCATTAGCATAGACCAAGTCACTCACGCGGTTGCTTGGAAGAAGCTCTATGCCAGAACCCTGTAGACCTTCCAAAGCGCCTAATAAGACGTCTTCAATCACAATTTTGATGAGTAAAGAGGACCTGGGATGTCGCTGTCGCACACTGCTAGTGACAGCGATAGATGAACAGAGCTTACCATAAGCCCTTACTCTGCCAGAGACGTTGTTGTAGAAAGCTGGAAGTATGGCCGTTTACTTTTCGGGTACTCCATTCCTTTACAGGCAACGCCATAAGGCAGGCCCATCGACCCAATCGAACGCAGCTCGGATGTCCAAAAAGGGACAATGGTAGGCTGGCGATAAAGGATGCGCTGCTCGAGGAGTTGGTCCACACACTCTCGACCGGAGCGGAAACCATCCTGTTCCTCACAGGAGTGTAGTTTTGGACTCGCTGTTGGCCTGCACAGTAGAATGCATGTTAGCAATTTTGAGGCGACGCATATGAACCTGATTCCTATGTGTTTGGCGCATGAAGTACGAACACCCTTTTTGAAGATGGGTACGATAATCGACTCGCTCCAAAAGGATGGAACCTGTTTCACACCAGATCTTGGAGAACAGAGTTATTAACTGGTTGACAATCGCCTCGCCACTGTACTTGTACTGCTCTGAAGAAAGTCGGTCTGAGCCAGCAGCTTTAAATCGCTTCAAGTAACGAAGCCCTAGACAGACCGCTTTGGTTGGTGGTTCCAGTGAAATGTACCAAAGTGCGCAAGTTGGCCTGCTTGTTAGACAGGCGGGAGAAGGAAGCCAACTGAATTGAAAGTGGAAGTGGTCAGCCCAACGGTCCATGCGCCTACACAAATTAATGGTCGGTGATCCATCAACTTCGCAAAGACCTTCACTGAGGCCAGATCTTTTGTGGCCACTGGTCCGAATGATCTGTGCGGCTTGCGAAAATTCCCGGAGAGAGCAGCTGTTTCCATCTCCGATACTTGCTGACACCACCAAATTTTGCGATCGTTACGCAGGCTTTACTTGAGTTTTCGGCAGTTGTTGCGGCGGACCTTATCGAAGCTTGAATCATCTGGGATAGCATGGCGACGGTTAGGAAACTCCAAAGAGCGAGCAGAGATTCAGCCTATCCTTGGATGCTCAACGATACCACAATATGATTGACTGGAAAAAGGCATCATCTTCCGCAAGAAATTCCAGTGATATTCAACGTCTGTAGGTGGAGCACGAGCGAGCGCATCTGATAAGGAGGATTTATATACCAGTTAAGTGGTGAGGCTAGCCCAAATTCTTGAAACCGTTTACCTAGACCCTTCGTATGTAATCTCCTCTGCTACCTCCGGCAATGTATCTCTCGGTAGTGCCTATAAGCACTAACCATATCTTGTTGAACCTCTGAGGTATCCAGCGTTGAGTTCCAGTCTCGTTTTGACAGGCATGTTTGTAAGCATAACAACACGTACATGTTCTGGTCCTCCTAAGCTGGTCGTATCCCTGGGGGCATGCTAGTCCTAGCGATACCGATAGGCCTTGTCCAGTCGCAATCATATCCACCAATTGTTATTATAAACGCTCACTATCTCACCGCTGGGTGACATTCCTTCGTTTATTCCCAAATTGAAGAAAGAAAGCACCTTTGTCCTTTCAATTTCCGTGTCGTGAAGGGGACCCTGAGTTGATGCGAGCTTGTCCATAACACGGCATAACCCCTCGCACTTGACCATGTGGCACCGCCACAAGCCTCACCTCCGTGGGCTCTGACACGAATTAGTATAACGTTTGCGCGCTGTATATGTGTACTGTGGCCGATCGAGGTGGAACAAGCCAACTGATTGTCCAGGTTGGGTCAGTAAATGATAAGGTAACTGATTTGAATAATGAGGAAATACTCCCGAGTACTTCCTTTTCCGTTTTAGCATTTTCAAATTCGCTATCTTTCTGCGGTTCGGCAGCAATACTTCGGCTTGTCTGTTGGGCTTGTCCTGTTGAGCCAATCTTACCGAATGATGATGAAATTCTCGTTTCTGTCTTAACTGAAAAGTGTCGTCTAAGGTCCTGGCATCCAATATATCACAGTGGGTCAACTTGCTCGATTGTCTGGTTAGTAATTTCGCAGATCGAATTTGTACCTACTAGTTCCACTTCGAGCGACAGTCAACTTACGTGTGTCCATTGGACTTGGCATACTTCATTGAGCAATAAAATAGGTGGGCGCACGCACAAATAATGGACAGTTCAACAGACCTACGATGAAGTTACCTATCCTAAAGGACAAAAGACTAGGAACGGGAGTGGTGTGCGATGTTTTCTCATCCACAAACCGAAAAACAAAGACGATCTGGTGCATTTAAATCCTTTGCATTCAGGATAAGGCCAGCACTAACCTTCCATGAGAATAACTGGTGACAATAAAGAAAGTGCGACTTAATGTTCTTTCGAATTTGATGAATTGCGGAAAATTTTGATCTCACTCACTTTGTTACGGTTGATACTATCTTACATCATTCTAGAACAGTATTGGTATGTTCAGCCTTTTGAAGCGATTCGTCGCACGTAGTCAGTCAAGTGGCCACCATACCCTCGGCAATCGCTGGACGACCTTTTCCTCCGTTTGGATGTCGCAATCAGCGCGAACTCATGAGGTTTCCCCGTTACCACTGAACAAACTAAACCATCAGTGACAGCATCAGCAGCAGCAGGCTACCATGCTTGATTACCGACAGCGGCTCATGCTCCACTTGTGTGCACCAGGCTGCTGCTTGTTAAATCACTAACCATGTATAACATTACAATTCAACTCGGGTGATATCTAGTCGTTATAGAGTGGTTGCGAGTCTTTGTTTTCGCTTATAATACGCATGTTGTCCACCATTATAACCATCCATTCCTCTAGACGCGAAGCTCAAGTGAGTGCTTAGTTCTTCCAGTTTACCTTTCATCCCGGCCTGAAGTTTCACTGTCTTTAGGGGCTATTTCGTCTCTTTTCCCCCGCAGCTCATTTTCATCACATGCTCGAACACATTCATGATGGCGAACGCGTATTACATGCCTTCTTGAAGACGCGTAAGTTTTCAGTTGTTTGTCCATCGTTAAATTAATCATCTACCTGAATTCCATCGACCGCGTCCGTGTGTGTGTTCGCATCTGTTTCGGTCACCCGATCTAACTGGAAGAATCAGTAAGCTGCTATTCCGTGTGTTGAACTCTTGAAACAAGCTCCTGAACTCATGGGAACCACAATTGACTGTATAACATGAGTTTATATGCACTATGGGATGATCACGAGGAGTTCGCTTTTAGCTGATCTTGTCAAACATCTCACATTCGGCCGCTAATTGCCAACATACTTGAACTATTATGCGTCCTGTAGATTGGGTCAATAATGCGGTATCCTTTCGACCGTCACCATGGTTTCAGCTGTGCCCTCAAGCATTTTTAAGTTGTCCTCTTAAACTACTGATCTGACCGACGGCAACAGCCTCATTGTCAATGTTCCCCATGTCCTCAAGTTTGTTAGCACGCTAATAATAGATCACGCAGTATGGAGATCATTCGACTCTGTTGCTATTGATCCACTTACCTCGCAGCTACATTTGTTATGTTCTCTACTGTTGCTTGACGTCCTCGAAACATCTCTCCATCGTGGCTTGAGCTGACACATCAAACTCCATCTGCGCGGGTGACAAGTTCGCTTAAACGTTGCCCACGCGACAGTTATCAACCGTTTTGGAAGCACCATTTCATTCACTAAGGCGGATGTTTGCAAATCTGGCTTTAGCAGATCCACTTATGCCAACATACACTTGCCGAACATGACAGACAGCAACCTGAATGAGAACGAAGGTTTTTTGTGTCCACTGTTATGAAGGAATGCGCATTGCACCTTGTACTGACTCACAATGGTTGGTGTTTGCGTGGATCGTCATTGGTGTCAGCGTCTATCCCGTATTTTAAAGGCTTTCGAACAAATTTCAGCTGGTAGTTCAGCTGAACTCAGACACCAGCAAGTACTAAGGGACGAATGCGAACGAGCTGTAGTTCTGGGCGGGTTATGTGAGCGCGTTTTGAGGAACGACCTTTCAAAGTTTCTGTGATATTTTTAATGAATTTGTATCACCTTTGTCATTTTGGTAACGATGTTTGTATGCACTTCGACCACCGCCGGAATTTGCCGTTTACCGTGCCTATAACTTATTCAAATAAATTTTACTTTTTCCAAACTGACCTAATACACGAACCCGCTTGGAGGTGAGCGAGGACAAGTATTATTGCGGACACGTTTAACCGTTGCCACGCCCGCGATATTGCGAATTGCTTTATCATCATCGTAACCCGCTCCACGGCTGATTCCTCTTTATGTTAGCTCTTAAAGACAGGACTTTAGAACGAAATATGGGCCATCGGTTACCAGTTGCTGCATCTAAGAATATGTTGCCAATTTGATATGCAGCACCAGCTTCAGACACTGCAGTGCTCGACCGGTTTCTTGATTTTTCTCACACTTCAGGTGAAGGTAGCCGCCAAGCCGGGAATCAAACATTTTACTCATTAGGCTCCGCAGGCATCGCTTGTCCCAACCGTTAGGAAGTCATTGTTGGTTTGTGTGAAGTATGCCCGACATATTGCACACGCGTGTTCCGGTTTCCAAGCTAATTGAGACCCGTTTCAGAATAAATCAAGTCCACATCGAAGCTATGTGTCGCAGGTACTAAAAACAAATCGGCACTTTAAACGGTCGGTTTCACAACTTTCTATCTACCACTGAAGTTGAACGTTATTTCGTCCCCATCATTCGGGGCAATTAAAAATGGTCTGCCATCCAGCTCGTTATATTCTCTCATTCTTCTCTGGAGAATTTGTTAACACCAATTATTCAAGCCTTCTCTTAGCCTTACTCCTATTTTTTCTTCACGGCCGATTTGATTCGCGTCTCAGCTTATGTCCGAGAGTTACTAACGCCAGACTATTACATTGGATGATATTCTCTCAGTATATACCCGTTAGCGATCAGCCATTCTTTTTCGGACCGAAATTCCTCGGTATGCGAGACCTAGCATGGCTTAGACATGGTTACTCTTCATCTACCAAACCATGAAAACCTCCCATCTGCTATCTTGATACCTCGAAGTCAGCTTTAAACGAAATTCTCGTTTACATTGGACTACACCGCGCGTAGCACCGCAGTGATACCTTGCACCGTTCGAAACCACTGTTGCTGATTCCCTTTGCTTGTCTTCACGATCGTTTTCCCAGTTCTCCCGTGGATTATCCACTGCACTTATTGCATTTTCTATCTACTGCGTTCCTGGGGCAAGTAGCATAATGTGTCACTGCAATTATTGGATCTGATTGGTTGCAGTATGGCTGTTGGTTTACTTAAGATACTCATGGTGCGCATGGATTGCGATGTGCAATACATTTCACACCGATATTTGCTCTGTAGCGAATCTGTTAGAATGCTGCAAAATCCATAGGAGATCCCACCATATCTCCACTATCTCGACGCCCCGTACCCCATCCCCGCTAACCTCCGCATTTGAACGTATTTACTTATTCTTATGCGGGAACTCGAAACATTTGCAATGTTCTGAATATCACTGCCTTGGTTCCACTTTCGTAACTCCAAGAAATATATCGCTTATTAATTTGTTTTTATGAAGCGGATAGATGTCACGTGTTGCTCACCCCAAATGGTGCATTCCGCTACCGGTTTCCTCCTTGGTTGCGCGCTTCAATTAAAGTCAGTCTGGCCGCAACTCTTAGCCGTGTCAGTTACATCTACGTTACAGAATAATCTGAGTATCATGGTGTTGTCCGTTCATCTATATATTCACACTGGGTACACTGACTACCAGCAGAAACTCGCACCTCCAACGCCGCACATTGCGCGCCTCTACGAAACTCAAACAGTTCCCTCAGTTTTCCTGCTATCCAATCGGCAACTTGTGTTTGACTGCAATTGTGTACACGACTGCATCTGCATTTAGTGCACGCACGATTGCATACGGAGCCATCGCACCACCCTGTTACATGCGCACACACTAAAGGGGAGCATGAAATTGATGGTCCCTCATGCAGTTGTGCGTGCACCAAACGCAGGTGCAGTCGTTTTCGCATTTGCGGTCAAACACAAGTTGCTGGTGGGGAGACTGCATGAGCAGTGAGCGCCTTCACCGCCTTGTTTATGGTGCTGGAAGAGGAATGGAACCGCTCAGACCCATTATTCCACCCACCAGACTCCGATGGCTGGACCATGTGTTACGCATGTGTCAGCACACCGACTCTCGCGACATTCGTTGTTCTCACAGCCGTGGACTTAGTCAAGAGGAATGAATGTTCTCCCTTCGACGGTGGCCTCGATTGGAGCCTATTGGCATCCTGGTTGTGGTCCGATAGTCGATCGACACATCTGGTTGCGCACACTTGTTGACATGGCGAAGGACAGACCTCAGCGGTGTTCGTGTTGTGAATTTTTTATCCCTTCTGATCTCGCCTCACTTCCCTGAAACCGATGCTTTTATCGTTTTAGTTTCATTGTTTTTCGATTATGTATTTGTATTGTCTTGCGGCACAGTAGCTGTTTCTAATCTCTTGACTATGTATAATGCTGCTGATGAACATGGTCTTACCCTTCAGGGAATTGACTGTGACGAATCTACTCTAAACATTCCTACCATTTCCTCTGCTGCTTTTCGACAATTGGTTTTCACCCGAACAGCTGACATGCCACTTCACTTAGTGGAGACTTATAAAGGAGGCGGAGGCAGTAGGGGTTAATTGTGTCTTCTGAGAGTTGAACATAGACCATGCTATATTGCAGCTAGGAATTTAGTCACGGTTGTCTTCTAGGAGGTTAACCATGCATTTAAATGTCGTAGTATAGTGAGGCAGATGGACGCTGCTGTGAGGTCCCGAAAGAGCCAAGCGTCAGTCCAGTGCTTTCGCACTTATAGTGTCTGATTTCGACGAGTCCCCTTGCAATATATTGAGTTATCTCATAGTACGATGGAAATTGGACATGCACCCTATTGTGTCAATCGCCTCCACTACACACTATCCTTGCATACGCGGCTTTGCTTGTTACTCTGAGTCATTCGAACGATCAGGGCGTTCAGCTACCGCCCCCCCGTGAAGTCACTAGTCCTATCATCAACGTGAATACCCCTACCTAACAAGTCTGGTAACAGACAAAACTAAATATAAAGAGCCTAGTAGTTTGCTCTAGAGATAATTCACTTCTTTCACTCGTGCTCACGCTTGTATATGTGTGACTGATATGCTCGGTTGCCTCGTCGACCATACGTTTTTCCAATACCCTATTACATTCCCATGCAGTCCGCACGCATTTTCCACCAGCGAGTAATCTGAACACCACTTTCAGTCTCAGCAACTATGCCGGGCTTATTTTTAGCCCACTAACTTGCCCTATGCAACAGTCTTCAGAACATATCGCTCAACCCCTCTTGAAGGTAACAGTGCGCATTGAGAACTAAGGTTTCTGTCGATTCATTCCTGTTTCTTGATGCTACTCTCGTGGACCGTGAGCGCCTTAATTGTTTGTGTGGGCCGACAGCAATTGCGGTCGCATTTCCGCAGCGCACATTTTATCATTTTTGCGTCGCTCCGGCGTGCTTGATCTCGAAAGGTTGGATACTACAGGGAAAAGTGCCAAAATCAGGTAGCTTCCGGACACGCCCCTATGCGTGAATGCATTCCAGTAGTTTTGAACCTGATCCATCGCAGTCATTGCTGCATGTACAATTTCTTCTCTTTTCTACTCAGTATTTCAGGTCGCATACACCACTATATTCGGCGCATACTCAGCATTTCTGTTACTGAGAACCGGTGAGTCAATTGTACGATAGCCATTGTCTGACACTTTAATGCTACACGTCCGTTAACCGAAGTTGGTTACCTTGCTTTGCTTCACTTAGGTCTCTTTTTCGCCTGTAAACGGACATCTGTTAGCCAGTCCAACCTTTGTTCTCTTGACACCTTGTTGCAACGCTTCCCCTTTTGCATGTGAATAGCGATCACATTTACGTCTCCGACGGTTCGGATATCACTGTTTTCTATTCCATGCAACTGCAACTGTTTCTTTGGGCGCCAATAACTAGATTCGACTCTGACACTATCGTCTGTGTTTGATCGGTTGTGTTTACACATTTTTACGTGAACCAAGTTTAGGTCCAGCACTAACCTCACCCTAGCTGCCCCCACTCTTGGTGACAGCGTTTTTGCAATAGACAATAGGTTTTCTGTTCTCCATCATCCCCTAACCAGGAGTCCTTCGGTTGGCAGCATCCGGTTCCGGATTTCCCTGTCACTGTTGCCTCCTTAGAACAGCCACAGGACGCCTGCGCCTACAGAGGGACCATGGGTGGCTTGCGCTACACCATCCACACACCCCATATCCAGTGTAAATCCGGGGGAATAAGACCGGGATGCATGTGGATGGGAGCCAGGTTTCATCATCAGAGCCGACCCACACTCCTTCACAGGCCAACACAAGCACGCTGTATTTGGGGAACCAAGCGCACGCAAATCGGTGGCTGGACCGTAGTCCAGTTGATGGGACCACTCTTCGAACCTAGCACGGCCACGAGGACCATGCACCCCGTCCCCTCCAGCAGCGACCAACTATCTTCTGGAGCCCGTATGAACGAGGTAGTGGGCAATGCACTGATAGGCACTTTGTCAACATGCACATCAAGTGCAGCCACACCGGGGATGTCAAACAACAACCAAACACTTAAAATGACAATAGCAAATAAAATATATCGAAAAGCCATACGGATATGTCGACGTAACTCGTCGCTTAATTAGCTTACGAAATAAATAGGTTATCCACATATCTGCGATAAATTCAAGATGGCAGAACAAGAGATCAAAAAACATGCAACAAATAAGAAAAAATACACGACGTTAACGACCTTCCGTTTAAGCGTCATGTGCAAGTTAACAGATTATTCAGGCAGACATTAACATGTGGTAACAAAATAAGCATAAAAACAAGAAAGCAAACAAACCACTTAAAATAAAATGACTCAGCACCCAGGCACACGTTTAGTAAATCTAATGGAAGCGCATGCAACGTACTAATCAACACTGCGCCGGTTCTGCTTACGTTCTCAGCGGAACCCGTCGTCGTTTAGCTACTGGTCCCGAGTGGCCTCGCTCATGGCTCACTAGACCTGTTTGATTCAGTTACTCGCGACCACATGTGCTACAGCACCGTGCACTCGACATCCATGGAGTACACCCCATCGGCGCCTGTCGCTTCCGCACTGCCGCTACTTCTCCGCATGCACGAGAACCTTCTCCTGCACATCGGCAGCTGCCTTCGTGATCAGATCGCGCCAGACACGCTAATAAACCGCCTTCGATTCCCAACATCTGAAATCAACATTCGAGCATGATAGGCTCACCTTAATCATGTCCTGATAACGAAGCTTCGTTAACCCACATGCCGCTTTCTCACACTCAGCTGACCATGTACTAGCTGCTTCAGTATCCGCGTCGAATCCATACGACACACTTGACCGAGCCACCTCATGTGTCTCAGCAAATGTATGCAGTCCGCGGCATACAATCCACTTATCGCAACATTTCCGTGTCTGCAACTCTGTCGCATCAACCGATGCGCAGAATCCGTCGCCAACACTGTCGATGAAACCGCTCGACTTATCTCGCCGGTACCTCGTCCATGTTTCGCTGCCGTATAAAAGAACGAACAGCACCATGGATTTGTACACCATCAGTTTCGTGCCAATGGTAAGCTGATGGTTGTTCCACACTCGGTACTCAAGCTTCCCGAATGCCGCCGCTGCCTTCGACACGCGGATACGCAGGTCACTGTGTAGCTGCTGGTCAGTCGAAACCACACTCCCAAGGTAGTAGAAGCGGGAGGTGGTTTCCAATACTTCAGCACCAATGCTGATACGCAGCATCATTGCAGAGTGACCTCTGGTGTTGGCTGAAAGTGACAGACACTTTTGCTTGTATTGATGGTAGACCGAACTTGGCCATTTGCTGCAACTCGTCTGTGCAGTGTGCAAATAACGCACGTCAGCAAACAGCAACATACGGGTAGTTGTCTCACAGACTAGGGTTCTGGCACCGAAACGACGGATGTTCGGCAACCCACCATCAATACGGTGCTCCACGCGAACGCCGTAAGCACAAGCCGCATCAAACGCACACCATATCATGACATGAAGGTAAATAAGAAACGACAGGAACTATGGCACAGTCTTCCTTCACACCAGCTGTACCCTCGACCACATACCACTGTGCAGACATTCAAGTAAACTTATGAACTTCGCGGACAACCAAACTTACCCAACACCAGCCACAATGCCTCGCAGTTCACCGTATCAAATGCTTTGGTGAAATCAACGAAAAGCGTGTACAGTGGCGTGTCGTTCTCTGCACTTCTCCTGCAGCTGACGAGCCGCAAACACCATATCGATGGTGCTGCGACCCGAACGGAATCCACATTGGTCTTCCACCAGTTTCGGTTCCACAACCTGACTGACGGGGTGGTTAAATAGGATTCGGGCTATCACCTTGCCCACGCAATTCAACAACTTGATGCCACAATAATTCGTGCAACATTGCTTGCTGCTTTGCTCCTGTACAGTGGTAGCACAAGGGCATTCTTCAGATCAGGAGGCACCTCCTCCTCAATCCAACACGCGTTGCACTAAGTGATGCTGCGTATACACCAACGCGGGTCCGCCGTGTCTCAATACTTCAGACGGGATCCCGTTATTACCGGCACACTTGCGGTTTCGCAGCTGAGCAAGTGCTCTCTGCATCTCATCCAGTGTTGGCGTGTCCGCGAAACTCACCTTCTCCTCGTGCTGTTTCAGGCCGTTCAATTCAGACCAGTCAATCTCTGAACGACTGTTCAAGAGACATTCAAAGTGAGTTCGCCGGATTCACATTATGTCTGCAGTCTGTGTGCCGGCAGCGCCAGAAGGTACATCGAGCAGCATCCTCAGCGGCTCCAAACTCGGTCCATACACCGCGTTCAGGGAGTTAAGGAATTCCTTGTGTTCGTGGCGTTCGGCGTAGCATCCAGTCTGCTTCGTCTTCTCCGTCCACCATGCATTTTTAGTGCGACGGTGTTCTCAGGTCAATCGCCCTCAAAATTTGCGAAACTATTCTTTCACACGTCACTGGGGTCTTAGGTGTCCAGCAAATGCTGCATTCTTTTCAGACACCAATGTGCCAATCGTCGCATTGTTCTCATCTACCCAATCGGGCCGCTTACAGTTTGCGCGCCCGACGGTCTGCTCGGCAGCAGTTGTCATCTAGTTGCGAATGTGGTGCCACAGGTAGCCCACTGTAGCTATGCGTTCCACATCACACAGGCATGCAGCCGTCGTCTTCTCCAGCTCAGTAAATTTCTCCCCAGTACCGAGGGAATGTTAAATTTACGCCTCCAGTTCACCTCAAGCCCACTGTGTGTACTTTACTGCACGTAGATTTGGTAGGCACCAATTCGTGATCAATGCTACACAGCTCCACGCAGTACACGTGTCATGCGCACTTCACGCATATCACGCTGACGTACGATGATGAAGTCGAACAGGTGAGCATGCCCACTCCGTGGGTGCGTCCAAGTTGCTATGTCACTCGCACTCAGTGCAAACTGTGTTCTTGATCGTCAGGCCGTGAGTGGCACACAATGAAAGCAGCCTGTCACCGTTCGCATTCGCTGAACCAATGCCATGCAGACCGATGACATCTGTCCTCACCGCAGCATCACCCCCAAAGCGCGCGTCGAAATCACCCAGCAGAAATAGTCGATCGCTCCTCGGCACAGGCCCGTATCACGGAGGATAACTGAGTGTAGAATTGATCACGCCTGTCATCAGGATAACACATGGTCGAACTGTACGTGCTTATAAAATTGCCAAACTGAACCGTTCTGAGTCGCGCGCTGATGCCAGTTGTTTCACCCACCAGCTGGGCATTTAGGCGATCGGATAGTACAAATCCGACCCCCTATTCACGTGGTGCTGAGGTGGCGTTTCCCACCCAGTAGAACGCAATATTGATGTTGTAGCGCTCCAGTCCCAGTACAGTGCGTCACTCGAGACGCTCACTCATATTCCGGTCGAGCAAAGTGCGCATGTTCTAGCACTTGATGTTGAGTACTTTGCGCGCAGGCATACGATTGCGCTGGCAGGCAACCGTATGGTTGGTGACGATCTGGATTGGGGAAATTAGTGGGTTAGCTGAAACGGGGACGGGGAGAGTATGTGAATGGAAAGAAGAAAGGGGCGGCGCCATCATTAGCATGTTTTCGTTTATCCACCCCCCCCCTTGTATGCAGCAGATGAGACTACCCTTTTCCTAAGACCACTGCGCGACCACTCGATGCAGAATGGATTTATTATTATTGGCGTAATTCATGGTTGTGGGTTGGACTGGGATACTGCCAGGGCGCCCACACCTGACAGCGGAACGACTCGGGTCCTCAACCAAGACCTTCGATAAAGTATGCACCGAAAGGCAGCGGGCTGAGCGCCATGAATCAGAGAACCGACTCACGCGGAATTGTGTGTCCTGGTTCCTAGCTAGAAGAGGGGTGTAACCCAACTCTCACTAGCCACCAGTGTGCTCCCTATCCCATGAGCCCCATCAACCCCACTAAATCTCTTACTGGATATCTTCATGCTTTTTGCTTTATCATCGGATAACTACCCTGGCTGAGCCTTGCTCAGCTTGGTGTGATAATAACAGATGGCACACATCGAAGGGACTAATCGACAGGCAGCGAACGTGCATGTTATACGCTTAGATGTAGCTACAAATCCGATTGATCCAGGTTGTATCATCACATAGCATTTTGTCTCCACCTTGAAAACAGCGCTTCGCTTTATTACTCACGTCGGTGTTTCACTCATTCATCTGGCCTACAGACCGGCCGTGTGGCTGATCATCATTTATGACATGTTCACTTAAGTTCAATAGAGTCAGTAGTCTTGCAACATCTCACTATTCAAATACTAATACAGTACGTCGATAACTAAACAGGACACATTAGCGAATTTAAGAGGGAGGCGTAGAATCTTGGGATCCTCAACTAGATGAATTGGTCACCGGGAACGAGGTGCAACACTGAGGCGGTGCGATTTGTGTCCAGAGCAATGACCTGACCACGGCGCTCGGCGCTGACTGTGTTTGGGCACCGATAGTTGTAAACACCGCACCGTCTCCTGGTGCTTCACTGGTTAACTGATACACTCCGACTGTGATGTGATGAGAGTAGTAGTAGTAGTAGTAGTAGTAGTAGTAGTAGTAGTAGTAGTAGTAGTAGTAGTAGTAGTAGTAGTAGTAGTAGTAGTAGTAGTAGTAGTAGTAGTAGTAGTAGTAGTAGTAGTAGTAGTAGTAGTAGTAGTAGTAGTAGTAGTAGTAGTAGTAGTAGTAGTAGTAGTAGTAGTAGTAGTAGTAGTAGTAGTAGTAGTAGTAGTAGTAGTAGTAGTAGTAGTAGTAGTAGTAGTAGTAGTAGTAGTAGTAGTAGTAGTAGTAGTAGTAGTAGTAGTAGTAGTAGTAGTAGTAGTAGTAGTAGTAGTAGTAGTAGTAGTAGTAGTAGTAGTAGTAGTAGTAGTAGTAGTAGTAGTAGTAGTAGTAGTAGTAGTAGTAGTAGTAGTAGTAGTAGTAGTAGTAGTAGTAGTAGTAGTAGTAGTAGTAGTAGTAGTAGTAGTAGTAGTAGTAGTAGTAGTAGTAGTAGTAGTAGTAGTAGTAGTAGTAGTAGTAGTAGTAGTAGTAGTAGTAGTAGTAGTAGTAGTAGTAGTAGTAGTAGTAGTAGTAGTAGTAGTAGTAGTAGTAGTAGTAGTAGTAGTAGTAGTAGTAGTAGTAGTAGTAGTAGTAGTAGTAGTAGTAGTAGTAGTAGTAGTAGTAGTAGTAGTAGTAGTAGTAGTAGTAGTAGTAGTAGTAGTAGTAGTAGTAGTAGTAGTAGTAGTAGTAGTAGTAGTAGTAGTAGTAGTAGTAGTAGTAGTAGTAGTAGTAGTAGTAGTAGTAGTAGTAGTAGTAGTAGTAGTAGTAGTAGTAGTAGTAGTAGTAGTAGTAGTAGTAGTAGTAGTAGTAGTAGTAGTAGTAGTAGTAGTAGTAGTAGTAGTAGTAGTCGTAGTAGTAGTAGTAGTAGTAGTAGTAGTAGTAGTAGTAGTAGTAGTAGTAGTAGTAGTAGTAGTAGTAGTAGTAGTAGTAGTAGTAGTAGTAGTAGTAGTAGTAGTAGTAGTAGTCGTAGTAGTAGTAGTAGTAGTAGTAGTAGTAGTAGTAGTAGTAGTAGTAGTAGTAGTAGTAGTAGTAGTAGTAGTAGTAGTAGTAGTAGTAGTAGTAGTAGTAGTAGTAGTAGTAGTAGTAGTAGTAGTAGTAGTAGTAGTAGTAGTAGTAGTAGTAGTAGTAGTAGTAGTAGTAGTAGTAGTAGTAGTAGTAGTAGTAGTAGTAGTAGTAGTAGTAGTAGTAGTAGTAGTAGTAGTAGTAGTAGTAGTAGTAGTAGTAGTAGTAGTAGTAGTAGTAGTAGTAGTAGTAGTAGTAGTAGTAGTAGTAGTAGTAGTAGTAGTAGTAGTAGTAGTCGTAGTAGTCGTAGTAGTCGTAGTAGTCGTAGTAGTCGTAGTAGTCGTAGTAGTCGTAGTAGTCGTAGTAGTCGTAGTAGTAGTAGTAGTCGTAGTAGTCGTAGTAGTCGTAGTAGTCGTAGTAGTCGTAGTAGTCGTAGTAGTCGTAGTAGTCGTAGTAGTCGTGGTAGTCGTAGTAGTCGTAGTAGTCGTAGTCGTAATCGTAGTCGTAGTCGTGGTCGCAGTCGTAGTCGTAGTAGTCGTAGTAGTCGTAGTAGTCGTAGTCGTAGTCGTCGTAGTCGTAGTCGTAGTAGTCGTAGTCGTAGTAGTCGTAGTAGTCGTAGTAGTCGTAGTCGTAGTCGTAGTAGTCGTAGTCGTAGTCGTAGTAGTCGTAGTCGTAGTAGTCGTAGTCGTAGTAGTCGTAGTAGTCGTAGTAGTCGTAGTCGTAGTCGTAGTAGTCGTAGTCGTAGTCGTCGTAGTAGTCGTAGTCGTAGTCGTAGTCGTAGTAGTCGTAGTCGTAGTAGTCGTAGTCGTAGTAGTCGTAGTAGTCGTAGTCGTAGTCGTAGTAGTCGTAGTCGTAGTCGTAGTAGTCGTAGTCGTAGTCGTAGTAATGGTAGTCGTAGTCGTAGTCCTAGTCGTAGTAATGGTAGTCGTAGTCGTAGTAGTAATTAGTAGTAGTAATTAGTAATAGTAGTAATGGTAGTAGTAGTAGTCGTAGTCGTAGTAGTAGAATGAGGGCAATAAGCGAACCGAACGGTAACGAGTCAGAAACGGACCAAACTGACGTCGTAACACAAGAACGCTTAGACCGGCATATGGACTGCGTTATAGGGAAACACTGAAGCAGCGCTTGGAAAAGCTTCAGACAAGAGCACACCATGCGATCTGCAGGAAAACTTCCGCAAACGAGTGGAACGGTGGTGGTTCATGTGGTTAATGCTCGTTGCTCGGCGGTGGCCGAGTGGTCTGCGCGCCTGGCTTGCAACCATAAGGTTCCCGGTTCGAATCCGCGTAGGGGTGGGTGTCCTCACAGTATACACAACACGCTCGCGACTGGTGGTCGTCGCGCGGCACCGAAGCGCCGTTACGGTGTACAGCTTGCATATTATTATTATTATTATTATTATTATGCTTGTTGCCACAAGGTACAACTCCATTAGCACCTATTGGGTTCTTACTCCGCCGCCACCGCGTCCACTATCAACCAGTTCTACTATTAGTAGAATAAATTAAAGCTGGTGCCTATCGCACGAATTCACCTGAAGCTCACACGTGGTTGGTACTGGTATTTTATTTGGTTGAGAGCCGCTAATTCAGCCACACTAGTAGTTAGGTAGTCTGTTCCGCACGACAGAATTATCAGATGGATGACGTCCTTGCATTCATCTCTTTACTTTTCTTCTGATGTTTTTAGTTCGTTTCTACTGCTGTAATGCTGTTGTTGAATCATTACCCTCTTTGCGATACCAGTCGAGGCAGTTGAATCCACAGCAACTCATTGCGCTGGACCTAGTTGAGCATCACACCACACACTGACAGCCGCCTAATAAACTGCGAAAGGTACCACTTCACCAGCGTTGGAGGCTCTAGTTTTACAGAGTGTCCAACGTGGTGCAAGATTATCGGTTACCGACCCCTACTAGCGGACCGCGGTATTTTCACTTAAGCACATTCACCAGATGTGGTCGGTACTTCGCGGACATTTCAAGTACAGGTGTCTTGTCTCTCATCTTTAAAGAGGCGATTGCCACATACTTGATTGACAGTCCGGGCAATCGCCTCCGCGACAATCGACTGCGGTTTTGGAAAACTACGCGTGTCTTATCACTGGTGTGTGTGATGACCTCTGCTGCTTCACCGAAGAGAACTCGAGTCCACTGTGTACATTGCACTTCTGTCAGTCAACATAAAGCCACTCCCCCAAATCCTGCGTGTTGTAACGTTTCACACCCTCTGGTGAACTGTTTTCCATCCCCACTCTCCGAGTACCACTACTGCTTCCCTCTGGCTCAACCTCTTCGCCAAACAGCGGCCGCTCGTTTGAACATTTTACTTGCCAATCGATAGGACAGCACCGCTAAATTTTCCTATGTCATCATAGCTATCAAACTCCTCTTCCAACATTTCTCTTTAACACAGGCAGCATTTTCTCTGCAATCGTTGCCCACGCTTTGTGCAACCTGATGAGCTTACCTGACTTTCCTGGTGCACTTAAACGTGGCCGCATGCGATGGGGTGTTTGGGGACAGCTACTTGCCATCATCGCGCACACAAGCGGGCTCGTTCTGTGGGCGTGGTTTCTCTTCCCGGCTACGGATCCTCGACGTTTTGGCAACACAACAGCACGCTGCGTTTGGTGAAGCCGCCTACATGCTCCAATACTTCGAGTGACGGCGGCAACAGTTGTACACTGAGCAAGAGGATGTTTATCACACTTGACCTATCTTGTATATGTAAAACTGCGGCTTACTTCCGAGACATCATCTGTGCGTCCTTTGCCATCGCTTCTAACAATCGACGTTCTTCCCATTAACTGTCCTTGATCTATCCTCTATGCTGTATTAAAGTCTTTGTGAATTAACTTTTATCTTTTTATCTTATCTATCACTTTGGGGTCTGTTCAACCATCGTTTTTCTTCCAGCTGGCCTCTATGGACCGTTTAAAAGGAAATGTTACTTATGAGTCTGTTCAGGTGAGTTCTTCATGTTATCTTAGCATTTTTCACATTTTCCCCAAAGTACAAAACATGCTTGATATGTATGCTATTTACGGAGCCTTCCTATTTCCCAGCTAAACAGTGCTTTATAAGTTAGTTCCCTATAGCAACAAATAACATTGAATAATTTGCGTTGTGTTGGCCACGCACCGTCTATTTCCGCGTATCGATGTGGTCCCGGTACTGCTTGCCGGTCATAGAATGGCGGACACTGAGGTCACCGACAGCCTCTGTGTAGGAGTCCACTTGACCCACCTTGCGCCTGATTCAAGACTATCTACGACATGGCTCACAGTCGCACTGATATCGCATTTGCCGTCATCTCCTAGTTGGGCTGTCTGTGTTAACTTTGTTTAGTGCCGAGTTATCTGCTGGGAAATTGCTGATTATGACGCGGGGCAGTGAAAGTCGCAAAGAAATTGGCTCGCAGATATCACCTTGGCTTTGCACGATAGGCGGCTGTTTGTGACCATGTGCTGTTACCAAATCAACGTGCCATGCGCGTTCCAGATTATAGCGGATTGTGTTTCGTTGACACTCCCACTAGATGAGCATCAAGCAGTTGGGTGTTCATCGTCATAATCAGGCCTATGGTTTATTTTGCATCGCGAACTCACTTACCCTCTGTCTGGATTTAGTTAGAATGCTCTTGGTTTGATCCAAATGTTACGTGAATCCTACTGGATGTGCTGACACGTAATGTTGCGCGCTTCTGCATGTAGTCCTCGCTGTCAGATTGCGGTGTCCTATTGCAGAACTAGGACGACAAACCACAGATTCTGGCTATCCCCGAACAGCCAGTTGAGGTGGTGGATCGGTTCACTTACCTTGATGATTGTGTCACCTCTGATGGTCACATCACTACGGAAGTTCATTCATGTATCAGCAATACTCGTTTGACTTTCTATAGACTTAACCATCCATACAAACTGCGGGATATCCGTCTGTCAGTGAAAAGTGTGTACGCGACTCTGCGATAAGGTAGATGTTACAGTATGGCCATTTCATAATGGAGGCACTAAACGCTTAACCGTGTTTGATCACCGGTGCTTTGCGGATTACTGCTCACATCGGGTGGGAACACCGATAAGCAGTGTCGATGCCTGTCAATTGGTGTTCGTGGAATAGCTCTCTGGTACGTTGGCTTCACGCGTTCTGTCTATACCCGTTGACCGCCCACCTCGGTTTGCACAGTTTGCTCATACTCATCATCATCCTCCTTATACACGTTAGCTGGAGGTGTAAAACACCTCAGCTACTGTGCCGCAATGCAAAAGAAGAGGAAATAAATGTACCAGTTGCATGCCAGCTGAGTTACCAGCAACGGATAGACATCGTTCCGGTAAGCTACCAGCCGGCTACAAGGCAACAAAAAATTATTATTTAAAATTACATTATGCTACGAAATGGGACCATGGTTGAAAGGGAGGCTAAGACGAATGGGGAGGGACAAATAACCTCACAACACAAACGCTATTGAGGTCTGCTCCTAGCCATGACAACATGTGTATGCAACCAAACGTGTTCATCCTCTTTTGGTCCCCAACCCGGGAGCCGAGACGCTCCAACTGAGGCCAACTTCGAAGTGAGCGCCTCCATTCCTCTCGACCAAGTCGTCGCTTGGCCACATCTCCTCTTCTTACATCCACACCCCCGGCGAGCAAACATCGCACGTCGCGGGAGCCGGTGGGCTTTCATGCGAAAGACGTGGCTGAGCCATCGGAGTCTGGTGCGTGAAACGACGGTGCTGAGCGATTCAGTTCCTTTTCCTGTGCCGTAAACAAGGCGTCGAAGACGCTCGTTGCTCACTCGGTTTCCCACCATATATGAGCCAAATTGCGAAGGCACCGATGGTCGAACGTAACTAGCCTCTTTATGTCCGCTGATCTAAGGGCCCAGGTTTCGCAACCGTACAGTAGGGTCAAACGTACCGCTGCATTGTACAATCTACTCTTCAGGGCGAGAGTAATGTCGCGCCTGCGCCATAGGTGGTGAAGGCTGGCAAAAGCACCTCGAGCTTTTACCATACGGTTCGGTATCTCATCTTCAATCCCACGAGCGCTAATACAACTTCCCATGTAGTTGAATTTCTGAACGACTTCTAGCTGATCCTCACCAAGGGTCAGCGCATGAGGCGATCGCTGCTAATCTTGGAGGAACGCTTTGCACTTCGAGGGTGCGAAGCAAAGCCCGAAGCGGCTGACAGCCAGTGCTAATCTGTCCAGTGCAGCTAGGCACGTCTGGGAGCTGTCACAGATTAGGGCAATATCGTCAGCATACTTCATAACAAGAAGTCGTTCTCCTGGGAGTAGCTCCACACCTAAATCATGTCCTGTGAATCCGATGCTCACGCTACACTGTGCTGAAAGAATTCTCGAAGTAGCCGTTTGATGTGGCATAGAAGCATGAAGATATTGAGTGAGAGGCTTGCTGGAGGTAGCGCTTGCTGCCTCCCTCGGTGAAGTCCTCTGAATCCGCCACATCATTTGTTAGAGCTGGATGGTAGGTGTTGTCGCCCCCTTGAAAACACTGCACTTCACGACTGCTTTCGACTTTGTTTTCACACGTCAGGTAGGTATGATAGGACTGCGACTAGAACCCGGGACCACTGAAAAGTCAACTGTAACGGTCAGTGATTAGTCACCTGGGCGCGGTGAATAACGGTTGTCACAACGGTGTATGACTAGGCACCATTTGATCTATGTTGTAACCCTGGTGTGCCAGGGTTAGGAAGAGCAACACCCAAATATATCCATTCCGGATACGGTCCTCGAGACCGGAATGATCGAGATTTGCCTCAAAGTGAGCCGAGATCTCAATAGAGGTTGCGAGTCGCAACCCAACCACACAGCGTGCTCCCTACATTCAGCTCTGATTCCTCTCGGTCTTCAATATCTGGTTGCATTTACCCGAACCTGATATCTGCTAGAAGTCGTTCAGGAATTCAACTACCTGGGCAGCTAAATTAGCACCATTGGGATTGAAGATGAGGTTACGAACCGTATAGCAAAAGCTCGAAGTGCTTTTGCCAATCTCCGCCACCTGTGACGCAGACGCGACATTACTCTCTCCCTGAAGGGCAGAGTTTATAACGCAGCCGTCCTTTCGACTCTCCTATATGGTTATGAAACCTGGCCCATCAGGTGGACGGACATAAAGAGGCTCGTCATATTCGATCATCGCTGCCTTCACAGCTTAGCTCATGTCTGGTGGGAGCACCGCATGAGCAATGAGCGTGTTCGGCGTCGCGTATTTGGTGCAGGAAGAGCAAGTGAACCGCTCAGCACCATTATATCATGCATCAGGCTCCGATGGTTGGGCCACGTGTTGTGCATGCCAGCACACCGACTTCCGCGACGTGTATTGTTTGCTCGTTGTGGGTGCGGTTGGAATAGGGGAAGGGGAGGCCAAGCGACGACTTGGTCAAGAGAGATGAAAACCCTCACTTCGAAGTTGGGGTCGGTTGGTGCATCCTGACTGCCTGGCTGGGGTCCTAAAGACGGTGAACACGTTTGGTTGGACACACTTGCTGATATGGCTTGGAGCCGGCCCCAATGGCGTTTGTGTCCTTTGTCCATCCCCCTCCTGCTTAGCGTCCCCCTCCAATCACGATCTCACTCGTTAGGCCTAATCTGACTCTCTTTGCGGCACGATAGCCAACTGTTAGCTCTCCGGAACGATGTCCATTCGTTACTGGGGACTCAGCCGGCGTGCCACTGTTTGTTTTCCTTTTCTTATCTTTTGTATTGCGGCACAATAGCTGAGGTGCTTTCCACCTGCGGCTAACGTGTATAAATTTAATTTTTTAACTTAATTACCCGAACCTAACAATAGCGGTGGTCTGCCCACGTGAGGCAGTTTGCTATTCTGTTGCACAGGTGCGGGTAATGCCTTCATGCCATTGACTGCCGTCACTTTTAATGTCTGGTGTTGTATCTTATTACTCAGTATCGCAGCGATACGATTACATTGGAAAAAATATTTTTATTTTTAACTACTGTTGATCGCCCTCAATGTATTCCCGTTGTTACATGTCATGCTTATTCATCCATTCCGTCCATATTTATTCTTCAGCCCTTTGTTTCTGCCTGCCTTTCTGACCTCAACCCAGTCCGTCGATCTGCTTTAAATCAGCTCTCCGCAATTGCGGCCTATCTGGATGGCACATACTTCATCCTGCGGAATTTGTACATTACACTGAAAGCAGCCAGACGAGCTGATCAGCCAAAGGTTTGCTTTATTTTCACACTTATCCTCGTATTTGCGATTGTACTTTCACTTTGTCCCCATTCATTGGTTACTTTTCAATCGGAGCTCCATCTGCGATATGGAAGCAAATGTTGGTAGCTCAGGTTGTTCAGTTAGTGGACTGAGTGTTCGCTGAGCTCGGCAGGTTGACTGCAAACGTTTCGTCACCACTCGAGGTGACATCATGAGTGCCTCATGCAGAGTTCCAAGAGTTCCCATATGCTCTTCGGCTTGAGGTTTCCTATTGTGTTCGGTTGGTTTCGAAGTAATTCCATCATGGTTTCTTTTGCAAGTTCGCGATTGATCGACTTGAAGAGTGCGGTGACATCAGACGACAGCATGATTTCATCTTCCTCTATTGTAACACACTTCAGTTTGTTGATGAATTGCTCAGCATTGATGATGCTTTGTTCAGAGCCGGCAATTAAATGTTTTAGTTTCTTCCACATGCATTTTGCCAATTTGTACGATGGGGTTCCTGGCAACGAGACGATTGGACGCAATGGGACTCCGTCTTTGTGTGCCTTTGGCAGTCCATAGAATCTTGCAATATTTGTATCCTCAGCTTTCATGTTCCATCTCTCCTGCTTGGTAATCTCATTCGTTGTTTGTAGTTTCTTCAATGCTGTGTTGATTTGAGTATTCAATTTTGTACTGGGATCCTGATCTATGGGACGATAGGTGGTCGTGTCGGAAAGGAGTTGTTTGGCTTTTGCAACGTAATCTGGTTTATCCATTATTACTGCCATGCGTCCCTTGTCAGCTGGTAGGATTACAATATTGTCTTCCTTTTGTAGCCTTCTGAGTGCTTCCCGTTCTTCTTTTGCAAGAGTATGTGTGCATTTGTTGCGAGTTATCGCAGGGACAACTGTTTGTCTAATTTGCTGCCGCGATTCTTCTGACAGTCCGTTTGTGTTCAAAACCTGTTCCTGATTGGCCAAGTAATCCTTATACGATGCATCTTTTGCGTTAAAGTTTACTCCTTTGATTAGTATGTTCTCCTCCGTTTTGCTGAGTTGACGGCTAGACAAGTTTTTGATCCATCCTTCACTGCTGGGGTGGTCAAAATTTCTCGTAAGCTTACTCAACTTGATATTCAGTGCTGAGTTACGTTGGCTTCTGATGTTGTTTACTCGACGTTGAATCGCGGATTCAAGTTCTGCAAGCTTCTGGGGTCCCATCGCAATAAGGCAGTCAGTTTTATTGTCATGTATGACCTTTTCATATTTTCGAAGGCGATTATGGGCATCTGTTATCATTAATTTGATCATACGCGTCCCATATTGTCTTGTTAAAACCCAAGCCTCTGGATGATTTAACGCCGGTCTGTGATTCAAACTTGGTGGCAGAACATTCCGTCTGAGACATTCGTGGAGGAAGTATAGCTGCTCGCGTGTGGAAGCTCGTCGACAGGCAAAGTTTTCCCAACGGCGAGCTTGCTGAAGCGTTGTACGCCCGAATAGCTGCGATATGGAAGCAAATCTTGGTAGCTCAGGTTGTTCAGTTGGTGGACTGAGTGTTCACTGAGCTCGGCAGGTTGACTGCAAACGTTTCGTCATCACTCGAGGTGACACCATCAGAGGTGATGATGTCACCTCGAATTGCTTATAGGTTTTGATCATTTCTGGTGGAATCGGATCCAGTTGAATATTCATCGCACATCCAGGAAAACACCGTGCTATTGTTTTGGACATTTAAAGGTATGAATCAATACCAGAAATCACCTCAGGGTAATGATTTCTTTTCGGTAAACTCTCCTCAGACCTAAACGTCTACATAGCACTGATTGTGGGGAAAACGTCAACTCTGGCTGGGATTGACTTTGGACTGTTTGAACGATCTAAATCGATAACTTGAGACAGGGATCTAGCCATGTGAACTAAGTAAAAATGCATACACAACGCTCAGTAGTCCGAATTAATTAAGTAGGTAAGATAACAACCAAATAACTAAATAACGGTGTCAGTTGGGCCGTATGAATCGTTTTTGTACACAAAATTCCGGCTTCAGAAGGTGGATGTAGATAGCCTCGGCGATGGATAAGAGCTGTTTGCGGAATCCTTGAGAGAAGTGTTCAGGTAGTGAGTAGATGACCCCGAGGTCATTCTCGGAAGCTATATGGCTACATTCAAGGCGGTGCAACGCTGTCTGTGACCTCCTTGCGCTTTTGTAAAATCATGTCGGGATGTGCTCACGAATCCTCTGAGATAGGCGCCTCGAGTGCGACCCACGTTTCGTGCTCCACAGGAGCACGAGTACTGATAAACGATCATTGAACGGGTCAACGGCGGCAGTCTATCTTTCAAGGGATATGTAAGTAACGGCTTGTTGTGATAAACACTTCTCAACAGCATGTTTCAGGCTTCGGGATAACATATCAGCTGCAAAATCGCCCTTAAATGGTATATGTGTGATAATCTCTTTCTTAGGGACAGTGCTCCTAATGTGAATCATCTCCCAGGCGCTGGACCAGTTGCTGCCACTAGCCGTATGGGTCAGAAACGGCAAGTGTTGCTAAGTGATCGTTTTTTATCTAGCGCCTTTCATCTTCCACCCAGACATGCTCCAACTCCGCCGTACAACAAACGGGGTTGTCCCTAGTTGCACGGCTGGAGCACTGCATCGACCGTTGTCTTAAAGCGATTACTGATTTTACTTATGAGTAGGCGTTCAGTTGTGGTATATCCCGCTTAGCTTGCAAATTATGTAGCCCAGCTGCCGTCCCCCATTGCTCAGTGGCTTAGACTGCTGGCTATTTGGCATCTGCCTCTAGCGGTCCTGGGTTCGATCCTCAGTAGGGGACCGAGGGAATGAGCACCACTGACGACAAAACGCGTCTGGATTGTGACTGAGCTATGTAGCTTGTGAGTTACTGGGATGAAAATATTACAATTAGATTACTGCTTTATCAGCAGTAGCCAAAATTCAAGTACTTTCAACGGAGCTCTCCGCATATATCCCCTATCATATTGCCCGAGTCACTACTTCGTAGTATAGAACGCTCTGCTTATCATAGTCCATTTAGGAGTCTCGAAAAGACAGTGCGGACGTCAGGTACTTATTTGAGATTAAATAAATAGTCGGTATAATCCTCGACTGTGTGGTCTGATCAATTTGTACAACAGTAAGAAAGAAGAAAGACATCAGCAGTACGACGGTATGCAGTACCGATGCTTCGCTGTCGCGCAACCAACACCAGTCGCACGTGCGCTACGGATACTGCGAGGGTTGCCTGGTTACTACGCAGGCTCGGACCCGCGCCCTCGGATTACATTGCAGGTTTGTGGTTTTTAAGGCCTGCAAGATCGTATAAAACATGTAGTTGTTCATGTTTTCTTCACTGGATCCTAAACTGATTTTTAAAGTGATTGGCAAGTTGAGGTCATTAGAGAAATTGTGAAACTGGGACCAATCGAATGCATATTATCGAGAGCATTGCAACGAACTTCAACTAGAACCATTTTGGATTTGACGATTTAAGCACAATTTATTGCTCCTATTCAACGTTCTACACAACAGACCCATTTCAATCTGCCTGCACTCCAACTGCTTCAGAGATCAACTCGAGAGCCTAGTAACCAAGATTTACACTGAAAATACCAAAGGCCAGAACGAATATCTGTTCTAATTGCTTCCTGGTCAGATATAGCTATCAGTAAAATTAACTACCAATAACACTCAGGTCATGTGACAATGTGGCAACATTTAGAAGCAGACTCTCCAGTTACCTTGATTTAAATACCATAATCACTATATTCACATGGGAAAAGTCCCTCGATGCGCTAATCCAAGCGGGGCCCAAGACATTTAAACGCCAATGTTTCCAAACTCGGCTTCCATCTCCGCTATTCACCAGAACGTAGTTACTTGCAACGCATACCCCGCCCGTCAGGAAGTACACCCATTTATTTATGATTTATTATTTTCCACCTAATCAAATCGCCCGTGCATGCACATGGATGCTTTTGTACAAATTGTTCCGTGCCACTACAGGCACATTTTCTCGCCTCAGATAAAATATATGTATTCTTAATATTGTTGAAGTAATACGGTCATCTGCTTTGCCTTCGTCACACAGGTCTACCGGTGGCTTGTACTCCTCAGGTCGCCAGTTCGATCCTGTGTGTACTTGCAAGCTATCTCACAGTTCCGCATGTGATGGTCATATAGTAGCAGGGAAGCGTCGGTGCTTATCAATAGCAATGCCCCCCCCCCAATGAGTCGGAATATCTGTTCTCGCTCACGATGCAGCCGACAGAATGAAACAGTACGAGCAAATAAACTTACTCCAATTATCATTGTAGTAAGACGCAGCAATGGAACTGTCTAACTGGAACATTTGACAAAACATGGAAACAACGAGCAAACCTTTGATAGAGTATCAGGTGACGTTTGTGCGTAAGGTTCAGTCACACAAGTGATAACCGCGCGTAATAATCCGAACTTTAACCAAATACTCAGACAGTTAGCATGTTATTTAAGATGTGAGGAGATGTAAATATCATCTCCACAGATGCAGTCTGCGTTGTAACCGTTAGGAACGTGCCTGAAACTACTTGAAAATATGCCACAAAGTTACGCGAGAGGGGCGGGAAGATCAACATCCAGACATTGCATCGTCATACACTACAGATTGATGTCACCAGATATGAACAGTGCCACGGTCGTTCGCAAGAGGAAGTCGATCTACACTTGAAGTAGGAAAGGATGCGGCGGTCCAGAGGTTCCGTTGTCCGTCTGGCATCGAACAATTAATCAGGATACTTGACGTAGATAGCTACCACCGAGGAAAGCTGCGTAAACACTTAGCACTAGCGACAGACCAGAACAGGGAGTGTCTGGTTAGGGGGGACGGTGCAGTGAAGGAGGACTCCTGTGTGGCCGCTGTGACCGTGGGTTCACATATGCCACAAACATTAGCACCACCAGAATACCATGGGAAGGTGAAGAGGCCGATGTATCACAACAATCCGGTGAGCACATCTACAGTAGCCAATAACCAGAGGTCATAACCAAAGTGGGTTGCGCCAACATTTGTCGTCGAGGGATTACTGGAAGTGGTCAATCGGTTCACTTTAATACTGGTTAACATCATCGCTCAGCCAGTGCGAATAATGGTATGCAATGTCTTTGGTTGTCCTTGACTTTTCCCGATTCCTTATCACCATCTGTGGGTATAACTAGACGGGTTACGTTATCCGTTTTTGGAAGAAGTGTACTACGTTGCGTTTCGGCCAATAGTATTAACTACTGCGCCTTGAAGATGTCGAAAATTAACGGTGTCTAACTACCAGTACATTAGCAGCATTGTCTACTTCCGGTAAAAACCTCGATGCTGCGAGAATGAAACCGAGTACCTTATTGTTATCTAATCGGAACTAAATGTTAGTTTGCACAAAGAGTTGATTCTTTGCTTTTGTGTCAATTTTTCTCTAAACAGTGTGTGTGTGTGTGTGTGTGTGTGTGTGTATATATACCTGCATCGTTTGTTGCAACTGTTCTGTACCGACAATCCTCCCTCACATTCGTTGTGATACCACATTCTGACCTCACTACGTGTGCGCGATTGTTTCCACTTGCTTGCAACTTTTGAGCTCAGCGATAGTTCTATGGACCTTTTCCGCTTTAGATCTCCCTTGAGTACTACCATCACAATTCCAAGGCATCTATCGTTTTCGCTCGCAGTACCTTATCTTCGTTTGCGATGTAATGGTGAATGATCCGTCCATTTTATGCCTCTCGTGATTGTAAAGTTCGCAGGAATATCATATTCTTGCATAATATGGATTATTCGCACTTGATGATTCAGTGCGCATACTCCCACCTAGTTTCATCTTTCCGAACTAATTACACCCCTTTTGCGTTTTAGCTCGTTTTATTCTCATTCATTTGCATACACTATGTCTCAAGGTCACATATTCAAAATTCTGTTTCTCGCATTGCTGTTGCGATTAAATGTTTCCGCACTATTGCAAGCATTGCTGGAGTCGGATGGCATCAGCGTATCCGCAACGATGATGTGCGTAGGCGAGTACTAGGTAGTGATAATCATGCTAGCTCCCTAGAACAATAGATAGCACTGGATAAGTTGCGTTGGCTCGGGTACGTGCTACGTATGCATGGTCACCGCTTACCTAGGAGGGCCTTGTTTAGTCTGCCAGGTGTAGGGTGGCGCAAGGCTATCGGTGGACAGAAGCTGACTTGGCAACGGGAAATGAAGTCATTGACGACCAAACTGGGTGGCGTTGGTCCGTCTGGCCTTCCGGGTTGGAGTCCCCGTGACTCGCCTTGTGTTTGGCTCGAGACTTTACAGGACATGGCTCGCAGTAGACACCAGTGGCGCGTCTGCTGCCGTCTCCTAATCGGATTGCCTGTTTAAAGTGTGCTTGGTGCTAAGTTGTCTGCAGGGTAATGGCTGATTATGACACGTGGCAGTGAAAGCCGCAAGGAAACTGTCTCGCCGATGCCGCCTTATCTTTGCACGATAGCCAGTTGTTTGTGACGGTATGTTGTCTACACCAGGTGTAAGCGCCTTGACCCTGAATGTTTGCTTAGGGCATTAAGGTTATCAGTTAAGTCCCTCTTCTCTCCCTCTTCCTATTCTTTATTTCATAGTTCCTCATGGTTGTATGGCAGCGAAGCATCAGTTCAAATGGCTGATGTACTGCTGTTGATAATGATGATGATGATTGCAAACTTGGTTGACTACGCTACATCTAACTACGTCGCACGAAACACAACGTAGCATTTATAATAGGCCTACGTAGACTTATGAAATTAGACTACGCGCACGGTTTGGTTAGAGGATTTTGTGTGTGTTATCTTGTAACCGGGGTTCTTTGATTCAAATTAAACACAACTGACAATTTAAGAATAGGTTTACGATTGTAATGAAATAGTGCTGACACAGGAAGAAGTGCGACAACGTGTAGAAGCGTTCTAATGTAGCCGTTCACTAATCGACAGTCTTCTAATAGCGAAATGTTTTGACGTTGAGAACTCAAGTATATGCTAATAGTGCGAAGTAAAAACCTTAAATATCTGATGTTGCGGATATTGAAAGCACACGTGTACAATTCTGTAGTGAAATGGGGAAGGGGTTTGGGTATAGAGATACCATATACTTAAATAGACCATTCAGTTTGGGAGCAAATCAAAATTATATTTGGGCCTTACAGTTCATCTGATCGATCCCACTCTATTTCTTCTCCAAATACAGTCCAGCACATTCTTTGAAAACGCCCTGCTTGCCATGGACGTGCTCCTGAGACCGGAGCAGAAGCCCTCCGGTGTTCTCGGACAACCAATCAAGCGTAAGTGTACTCATGGTGCTTTACACTCTCTTGGATTCCGAGCCCAACACCTACATTGTACTCAAACCGCCTTGGGCACTTCATTTTTCCATTGCATCCGTAGCCAAATCCGAACTTGCTCGTCACACACGAATCTCTCATCTCCGTCACATATTCACGCAAGTTTGGATGCAATATTTGGGCAACCAGGTAATTCCCCATCTTTGTAAGCAGACTGTTCACTTTAGATTGTTTCCACATTATGCATCATACTCGTAGTCTCATCCCTCTAATAACACAATCATTCATATGCTCATTCCTCCCCCAAACACACACGATCATGTACCTTGACAAAGTTAACCACACACTCAATGGATTAGCTGCGCTTAATTCACATGTTAGAAGAGCCCTCCTCCAAGCGGCTTTCGTTGTTTACTTGTCAAGTTCAGGCGCTTTTCATTGCAGCTTCCGGACGAATTGGTCCTCAAAACGATCCGCATGCTGGGTGACGGGGGACTGAGTCGTCTCAGCGACACACGTCTGTTGGCCGATTACATTGTCCCCGTGTTCGACATGTCTTCCGTGGACGATTTGGCTTGTGTCTCGGACCTGACTGTCCAACCGTCTTGGTCCCGTGCATGCAGCCGCACCGTCCTCGGCTTGGTACACAAAGGAGGGTTGAACTATCCCCGCCTGTATCCCCGGTTATACGAGTTGCTGGACGACAGTCTACTCGACTGCTCTGAAGTGGAACGATTCCTGGATGATTTAGATATCTACCTGAGCTCTCTGTAAGTGCTGATAACCACGGGAACCACTTTTGACGGTACTCTGTGTTCGAGAGCTTTTGTTCCTATGTGTAATTTCATGTGTCTGCACGTTTCCCCATTATTTGCCCATCTCCATTCGCATGTGTTCAACTCCACTTGGTGGGTAATCTCAAAAGTCTAGCAACTAGACATAGAGCCAACAAAAATCATGGAGATTAGCGGATGTATGTATGTATTCTCAACAGTCTATTAACTAGTCATAGAGCCAGTATAAAACCATGGAGATCAGCAGATAAGCATGATTCAACGCGTCATAATCATCGTGGCATGCTAGTTGAAGGTGAGCAACACACTTCAACTAATATGCCGCAAGAAGAATGGAACATTTCGATAAAAAGTAGAACAAAACATTTTCAGTTGGTTTTTTACACGCCGATTTTGCTCTTTTTTGTCATCTTAATGTTTGTAGTATTAACCATGTGATTCAACACAATACTGTGTACAAGTCTTCCATTGATTCCGGTTATGGGCCATATCTTCAAGAGTGCTAAGCCATTGGCACTCCCCATCTTTGGGTCCCCATCCTGTAAGACGTACGGATCCAACAGCGGCTAGACACGACGTCAGCGATTTCATGTGCTGCCGCCAAGTGGAAGGTTGACCACCACGCGATCGCCTCCAGCCAGGTCCTTGACAAGCGAATAGAGCGCGACGCGGTAGACGCTCAGGTGCCATGCGAAGGACGTGACCGAGCCATCTCAACTGGCGCAACAAAACCAGTCTGTTGAAGGGAATACTTGCATTCCCCAAGATGCGACGTCGAACGTCATTACTATTTACTCGATGTTGCCACCAAACACGAGCGATCCTCCTTAAGCAACCGTTATCGAACGCAGAAAGACGACGCATGTCTTCCACGCGAATCGGCCAGGACTCGCACCCATACAACAATATTGAGCGAACTGATGCGCTGTAGACGCGGCCCTTTAGTGAGAATGAGACGTCGCGACGACGCCACAAGTGCCTCAAATTGACAAATACTGATCGAGCTTTAGCGATACGAAGAGAAACTTCTTTTTTGATAGTGCCGTCAGCAGAAACACAGCTCCCAAGGTAGACGAAACTATCTACCTGTTCAAGTTGTGCACTTTCGAGAGTGAACACGGGAGCAGGTGAAGGCCAATCCTTGAGCAGTATTTTACACTTCGATGGGGCGAAGCTCATGCCATACTTAGATGCTTCAACCGCCAAACGATCCAGTTGGTCAGTGGCTAGAGGTCAGGCAAAGTCAGTCTCATGGTCCTCTAGGTTGGGGGTTAGCAATGGGATGACATCTATTTCTGTAAATCCAAGTTGTTGCTACCTCTCCACTGCCTTGCGGACAGGCTTTTGGGCCAAAAGCTTTGGTTGAGGACCCTAATCGTCCTCCTGTCGAGGTATGGGCGTCCTGGAAGTATCTCAGCCCACTTACAATCATGATCATTTCTTCAAACTTCAATACGTCCTGCATCGGCCGTCGCGCAGATTATCGAGAGTCACCTCATCTGATACAATCAGCAGGGCGAATAAGCGAAAACTGGCTACTGCTGACGTCTCCCATCTTTTCCATCTCTTCCTCCCCGACACACATTCCTAACCCTCCTTTTATAGCTCCTAACTTAATTGACAGCAGCCGTAATGCCACTGGACTCGAACCATCTGAAGGTACCTTCCCACGCCAACCACTGAAAGCCTATCAGCAACAGTCTAATTCCACGCTGTCCCGTTTTGTTAACGGGGTTCAACATTCGTACTTTTAGACAAATAGCTCAACAGCCTGCACTCTCACGCTTGTAGGGAACACTGGGTAGTGAGGTGTGCTGCGTAGTCTGGTAATTTATAGCACGGATTGTCTCACTATCGGCAGGGCGGCGTAGTTGCCACCTGATAACAAATAGAAGGTGGCTATCAGGATGGCGTGTTGACCACCCGGAAACGGTATCACTAGCAAGATTACGCAATAAGCTACCTAGTAACAATGTCTCTTGGGTAGAACAGAGATAATTGCCAACCGATAACCGTTCCACAGCAACATGACTTGCAAAAGTGGAGATAGGGAAAGGCGTCTGGCGCGAATTTTTGTGAAACCATGAGGTCTCACAACACTTCGTCACTGTTCCTGTTCGTTTACCTATGTGGCTGCGTTTTACTCTGAACAAGTTTCAACTTTCCCCTTTCCTACCTTTACTTTTTGCGCCATTTGTGTTTCCATATGCGTACCACCTTGTGGTGCGTAGATCCCGCTTGGTGCTGTTTGGAGCCTCCTATCCTCGCGCCTTCTGTCGGCGGCTTCCTCCTCTACTTTGGATTTCCTCCGCCGCTGCACCACAATCACATCATTCCTAATCCCATTCTTTGGCTGTATTTTGCGCATTTTTATCTAACCTCTTTGTGATCTCATTCTCTACCGCCCCATTATCTACCAACGCAGCCATTTGGCGGTCAGTGTTGTTGCGTCGTTCATCAAGCGCCTCGCACAACTTGCCCTCGTCAGCCCACTGCGTCTCACTCCCGCATTTCTCTTGCTTATTCGGAATGCGCTCATGCGTCATGTGAAGTGTTCCGTGCTGATTAATCGAAGAACCTCACAGGCTGTCATTGCTTCGGAGTCGCTGAGGACATCGCAGGTCAGTCCGTTCATTGAACCGTGTCATTCTTTTAGTGGGAAACCGACCCTCTTATTGTCGCGTTTTGGTGTTCTCTTTCAAGATTTCTCTAGTTGTGGTAGGAATATTGCATCTGATGGAGCAGGCATACTAGCGAGAGCTCTACGGGGCAGCCGATCAAATGCGAACCGAACAGCCTCGGCTATTGGCCGCACCAAGTCCTGCTGACTGGATAACTGTTGCCGGTCGTTGTGTAACTAGATTAATAGAAGAACATTCTTGATGGAACTACGTCCTTAATGGCCCTGGCCGAGCTGTATATATATATATATATATATATATATATATATATATATATATATATATATATATATATATATATATATATATATGAAAGCGCTTAGTAAACGAGATGTTATATTTCTCTGCTGCTTGGTTTCCGCCGATAAACCGTTTGTCCCCCTGAAGAACACACTTTCATGACACTAGTATACTTGGGCTTCTTCTTTCACCTATGGTTATATTTTCCGATTGTAAGTAGAGTGATCATCCGGTATGCTTCACCTCGCGTGCTCAAGTTACAAGCCTATTGTCTCTACCCGAGGAGTGCAGCTGAGTTGACAGAGTGTCGTGCAATGCAATGTTGCGAGAACACAGTGCCTAACGTTACCCGATTTATTATGACCCCGTAGAATGAGAGAGAGAAGTGAATCGCGACTCACATTGTGATCGCGTGTCTCGATCTATCCATACAGTGCGCTTCGAAGTGTTCACAGTGACCTGGAAGTTGTTCTTTAAGACTCTGTCCACACTTACTGGGGTACACAATGATGGAATCGCTGTATACCTTCATCGGAATATGCCCACTGACCTTTTAGAATACCTGTATTATTTTACCTTACAAGATCCATAGTACTAATTGATTAAGATTGAGCACATCATCTTGTCCAGTCTATCTCTCGGTGCTTTGACAGAGAAACATCTATCGTAGTGGACTACTCTTATGCTAGACATGGAGGGCTCCTTTTCATTCGCTTCTCTTGTGCGGTAAAATCTCATATCGCACTACTCGTCGTCTGGAACGAACGCCACACACACACACACACGAATCCAGCGTTAACCACGTGACGCACCCACATCCAATGGGGAGAACGGAAGACTGGCCTTCATCAGGAGTACTTTTATAATGAGACTGGCGATCTATGTGGATTTCACATATAATTGTTTGCGTTTGCGCTTAATGCGACTGAAGCGGCTAAGGCGTATGTCATAGAACACGTTAATTCACACTAGCTGGTGTTTTGTGGGAATGTGCATTCCCATAACATCATCTACTTCAAATTCGAACATATCGTTTCTGTTCATAGTTGATCTGTAGCGTTTATATCTTTGGACGGACACACGCTGTTGGGCCGCTAGGGCAATTGGTACTTGGAGTAGATTGGACAGTTTTTACAGTCACCGGTTGTCGCATTACGATTTCTACTGTTTCCAGTAGTATGTGTAGTTTTAGGTGCGTAGACGACTAAACTTGTTCATCGGCCGCTCCACACCGCAGTCGTAGCTGGTCATGGTGGCGCACCCGTCTCCCAGGATGGTCACAGTCACTGTCACTTTGATTCAATGCGAATTACCAGTTAGGTATTCACGGGCGTACTTAGAGGCTCCAACAACGAGGCCATTGCGAGAGGGAAAGATAGTACGTTGCTTGGTCGTCTCTTCGATTGGAACTAGCACTTCGTGTCTGACTCACAGCTGCTGGCTCTCCAGTGTCTCGGCTGGCGACTGCCTCTCAAGAAATGTTTGATTCATTGTGGTCCTGTAAGCGAACAAGTACGTCTGGATACTTGCATCTACGGTCCCCTTTTCACGAGCTATCAAATACTCCAATGAATATATCCACAACACGATCGGATTGGCTGTTGGACTAAGGATGGTAAGTCATTTCCCGATAACGAAGTGTGAACCGTTGTCCAACACTAAGACCTCAGGAAATCCATGCTGACTGAAAGCTTACTGGAGTCAAATCAGCGTGGCATTTGTGATTTGGGGATTGATGGCCATGACTTCAGGTCATGTGGAACCGGTATGAACCAGGACCGGGTGGATGACGTAGTCGATGTACCAGTAAAACCATGGTATTTCGCTTGTTATCCACAACTGTTGGTTGGCGCTGTGGCGTGTTGACATCATAGGCATGAGGGTAGCGTTTGAAATTACCGATGACTTTACTCCTCTACGGAAATAACGATGATCACCATGTCTTCATTACACTGCAAGTTTGAAAATGAAGTGAAAAGACCCTCAGCTTGTCCGAACTCCTGAATGTGATAGAAGCGCATTTCGAAATCGGAACCACAACAAATGACGGCCCGCCGTTATGGTTCGCTGGATGAGTATGCTGCGACGCACGTGAGGAATTGTGTCTCATATGTTTTAGGATCGTCAGCATCTCCTTCGCGACTTATTTGCCTTCACCACAAACAGGACTGACCGGTCAATTCTCTCACCTCATTATTTTACTGTGGTGCGATCAAACTATCATGTCCTCTAAGTTCATCCTAATCTCTTTTCTTCTATTTCAGACCCCAACTCCTCGTATCGGTGATCCTTATCACTGGGATCCGAAGAACATCGAGTCGAGTGGAGCGCTGGAAAGCAACCTGTGGGAAGTGGCCAGTTTGACTAATCACTATTCCACCACTGTGTCCGAAATGGCGAATGAAATTTGCCATCCGCAACCTGGGAGCGTCATTGATTCAACCGTCTCCCCTTCTATCCTCATTCGCAAGCAAGATATGGTGTGTTATCTTTCTGCTATTTTTCTTCATCATGCAGTGTTGGTAATAGGCCATATATCTTGGTGATCTAGCAATCTTTGATTGCGCCAATTAATTATTAATTATCCTCAACAAATCACGGGCAATGCTTATTTTCAGCTCAGCAAATCTTCCCATTGTAATCAGATGAATCAAGACCAGAAATCAGTTCGGGGTTAAGAATTCTTTTCGGTAAACGCTCTTCAGACCCAAACGTTTACATACTACTGATTCTGTGGGGCAGGCGTCAAATCGGGCTGGGATTGATTTCTAAGGTGTTTAAACGACCAAGCTCAATGACTAAAGGCGGCTACAGATGATAAGAAAAGTGCACCAAAGGAAATTAATACAAGCTTCAGCGGCCTAAAGTAAATAGATAAGGTTACAAAGGATAGTTACGTAATCATGTCAGTCGGCCACTGTAGTAGTATCGGCTGTATGAATCGTTTATGTGCACATAATTCCGGCTTCAGGTGATGGATGTAAATAGCCTAGGCAATAGACAAGATTTGCTTTCGGAAGCCTTGCGATAAGTGTTCATATAGGGAGTAGGTGACTTTAAAGTCATTCTCAGATGCAGTGTGACCACTTTCGAGGATGTGCGACATGATTGAGCTGTCTGAAGACCTCATTTCGCTTTGTAAAACCACGCCAGGATCTGATCGCGAATCCTGTGGGATAGACGTCTCGTTGTGCGACCCACGTATCGTGCACCACAGGAGCACGAGTACTGATAAACGAGTGTCGAACGGGTCAACGATGGCAGACTATCTTTCAAGGGTTTTGCAAGCAATGGCTTGTTGTGGCAAATAATTATTAAGCGGACTGCGAAATAAGCTTTCTCAACAGCATCTTTCAGACGTCGAGCTAAGATATCAGCTGCATTATTGCTCGTGAATGGCAAATGTGTGAATAGCTCTTTCTTGGGCGCAATGCTCCTAGATGGCTTTCGCTTTCGTTCTTTCATATGCTTCATGATAAACTTATCGGGGTAACCATTTTCACGAAGAGCGTCGCTGATTCTCTGTACCTCTTTGTTGCCGGAACCCAAAGTACAAATATTGCGCGCCCTGACGGCAAGAGATCGGATTATCTTGCTTTGCGAATCCGAAAAGCATGCAGAACAGTTGCTGAAGGCCTTTAATGACGCACGTGAGAATCTACGCTTCACCTGTGAACACGAAAATAAAAAACCGTTTCCCTTTCTTGGATGTAGAAGTTATCCGCAACTCGGACGGCTCATGTAGCAGAAAGATACGCAGAAAGCATACGTCGACTGGATAGTACACTAACTTTCACAGCGCAGGGCCTTTACAGCACAAGAGGAGTTTAATCCGATCTCTTGCTTTCAGGGCGCGCAGTATTTGCACTCCGGATTCCGTCAACGAAGAGCTACAGAGAATCAGCTACGCTCTTCGTGAAAATGGTTACCCCGATAAGTTTATCATGAAGCATATGAAAGAACGAAAGCGAAAGCCATCTAGGAGCATTGCTCCCAAGAAAGAGCTGTTCACACATTTGCCATTCAAGAGCAATAATGCAGCTGATATCTTAGCTCGACGTCTGAAAGATGCTGTTGAGAAAGCTTATTTCGCAGCCCGCTTAAGAATTATTTACCGCAACAAGCCATTGCTTGCAAAACCCTTGAAAGATAGTCTGCTATCGTTGACCCGTTCAATGCTCGTTTATTAATTATCCAGATGTACACCGTAACAACACTTCGCTGTCACGTGACCACCGCCGGTCGCGCGCGAGATGAGTCTACCGCGAGGACGCCCACGCATACACGGATTCGAACCGGTGACTTTGATTGCAAACCGGGCGCGCTGATCAACGGCCAGCTGATGTCTACTCCTTGCTTATCTGTCTAATGTCTTCGATATGCATCCTCTTCGCGACGCGATGTATTCTGAGGTTACGAAGGCTTTTCTGAGACTATTTTATAAAAGTTTGATGAGCCACCTTCCTAATTACGTTGCAAATTTGGCGCTGTTCCCTCTCTCAATCAGTTTTATCAAATCCTACCTGCACTGAACTTATTCTTGAATATTTTTTTCTGATCATATGAGCTTCTGTGCGTTGATCGGGCGTCGAAATACTTCGGCACTTTATGTACCCATGTGGTGACCTGCTTGGTTTCATTACTTTTATTTCTGAGAAGGCTTTCATCCCAGTAGTTCAAAGTTACAAAGCAGAGCCTAGTCCGGGAAAGCGCCAGACGCGTTTCGCCCTATTGGGGCTCGTCAGTGGTACGCATTCCGTCGGTCCTCTGAGGAGCGTCGAACCCATGACCGCTGAGGCAGATGCCAACTAGCCAACAGCTTAAGCCACTGAGCCATGGGGGACGTTTTCTGGGCTACATAATTTGCAAACTAACTGGAAGATAGCACCATCTATCTACTACTGTCACTGACAGTGGTTAGCCTGCGAGGTGATGACGTCCTCTCACTAGACGCTATATCCATAGCATTTGAAACTAGGAGAGGCTATTTTATTTTATGTTACTCACGAGTAGCTATTGCTACTTTCGAATAACCACGGTACATCATACTAATGCTGGAGCCCATACTTGGTGCACAATCCACTAATCTTTCGCTGGGTCTCATTTTCCTTTTATCCTCGGGGTCACTCACATCGGTCAGCCTGATGGCAAAATGTCGAACAAACGCGGTCTTGACTTTCTCGCATCATCTAACATTCATCTGCTTCAGACGCAACCCCGCTAACCGAATTTCTCGAAATTCTCCCCAAAGTAACTCGCGCTCTTGATTGTGATCGTGTGTTACTATCCAGTCACACAACGTACTCCAAAATGACATCCATGGTTTTTGCGTGTCGCAATCAGTCGACCATTCAGATAACTTAATTGCCAATCCGGAAAAGCACCAGACGGCCTTTTCGCCCCAGTAGGGCTCGTCAGTGGTGCGCATCCTTGGCTCCTCTTCCGTGGATCGAGCTCATGACTGCTAGTGTCTTGCGCCAACTAGTCCGTAGCTTATGCCACTGAGCCATACCGCAAATCACTAGCAGTCATGGGTTCGTTCCTCGGAATTAGGACCGAAGGATACGTACCACTGACAATCCCCAGTTGGGCGTAACGGCCTTCTTATGCTTTTTCTGACTGGTAGTTGAGTTATCTGAATTGTCGACTGTTTGCGACGAACTCAAAAGCTCGCCAACCTCCTTCTACTCGTGAACAACATTGCGGTTTGTTTTTACTATATATCGCGATTGAGCCCGTGGTTATAAGTTGAAGTTGAGCGAGACTGAGATGGAAAACTAATTCACAACGCAAACGCTACTGAACTCGGCTCTCTTGCATGTCATCAAATATCTTTAACCAAAACCGGGAGTTGGGAGGCACCGACTAAGGACAAATTAGATGATGTGAGAGTCTTAATTCCTACTGACCAACTCATTAGTTGACCTCCTCTTCTTTTCTCTCATCCGTACCCCGGACGCACAAATAACGCACTTCGTGGGAATTGGTATGTCGTCACGCGTCCAACGATCGGAGCCTGGTACGTGAACTACCTATGTTAAGTGATTCGCTTGCAAAGAACTTCGAAGATCCTGACCACCAATACTGACATGAATTCTCAACTCTGTTACTAGTCCGAATACTATTTTAAATGCTGTTCCGTGATCCTTGCCTGTCGTACTACTACTGACGATGTAACTCCTCAAGTGCCTACCGACCACAAACCCTACCACAGCAGCACCGCTTTACAGCGCAAACATCCGCGCCACATCCTCTTACACCTATCAAGCGATATGCTACTCTTGACCCAACTCTACAACACGGCCATCAGCTCCGGATTGTGCACTTGTGTTCAAGATTATCGCTGTCTGTCTGTGGCGCCCGCTTAGTTTGTGGTCTTGCTTCACGGCGCAGCCGTATCGCCCTTAACCTTTCAACGTCAAAAGAACCCCAAAACTTTCAAATTACCTGCCGTTTTAGCTCCAAGTCTGTCATGCATCCCTCGGTCTAGTCCGAAGCTTCATCAGTTGATTTTGAAATAACTTTACTGAGTGCCTTCTATCCCGTTGCGCCATGAAAATCCTCGAAAGCCACCTGTACTGCTTATCTCGGAGCGTCAAAATCAGCAGTGGTTTTCGGTTGCCTCCATTAGTGCAACCGGATTCACTGCGCGTTTAGCACTTTGCAATATCTTCTGACTAGTCTAGTCAGGTCACATCGGGTGTGTTGGGGATGGACTGGTCCGTGGGAGTGAACAACAGCCGAGTACTGTTCTGACTTCTTCAGAGCACCATCGGTCCTGTAAAATTCTCAATCTTTGGACCGATATCTGAGTAGTTCGAACCGTCGATGCATTCTTAGACCCAGTGAGTCAAACGTTTAGCCGGACATTTCGTGGATCATTTTGGCCAGTTTGTTTTGGAACTTACGTCTCGCGTTCTACGAGTTGAACTGAACTGGCGTCGTTGATGCCGAACAAGGTGTCTAGGCTCGGTGATGTACACCGACCGTTATTAGCTTAGCTGCTCTATCCATCACATCATGCTGATATTTGTGGTTTCTCTATTTTCAAATAACCTGAGAGTGACCACGATGAATTAGCTGAATCTGAAAACTGTCCTGCAATTACTCTCCAGGAGTGTTGCTTATCGCCACACTGTCTGATTGACCTGTAGTTTTCATGACACTGCGTCACTGGTGCTCAGTGGAATCGGCTGCATTTGTCACTTGTTTGCGCTTTGTCTTACACTGAAACAACGTTTTGCTCGCGGACTACTCGTCATCTTGAGCCTTTTGCCTCAGGATCGGCCTTGTTTCGAGCGACCAGGACTCCTTTTACGCTATCCTTAATGGCTTGCCGAACAACCTCCTCGTGGTGCCAGCTGGGTGGTTCGGGATTTTCCCGTTCCAGCAAATGGTTCGGCGGCAGTGTTCCAGGACGTGGTGGGTTTTCGCCTGGCAAGCGTTCTCCCTATAAAAAGCCACATATGTCCGTTTAACAACACTGTGACGTGGCGGACGTGACTCGCCACTAAATAAAGTCACTGCCCCTTGCTTCATCCTGGCAAAGCATCGTATTCCAGCAACGTCATGCTGTACTTCTGGGGAGCATTGGGCCCCTGTTTGACAAAGGAACAAACGAAAGACGTATGAACTGAGCAATCAGTCACCGGCTCCCAATGGGCGCGATTTCCTGAATTCGCTCCGCTGCCTTGCGGACAGGCTATTCAGCCAAAGGCTCGGGGTGGTGTCCCCTAAGTCAACACCCTACTTCGGCTTGGGCAACCGGGTAGTATCTCGCCCCCTGAGGAAACCATGGACATTGTTGTGTTGTGTTTTATTTTACTATTTCTGTACTTTCGTTTGAATCCCATGGTTTCTGATGGCATTATGTCTATTCGTAGACTTTTGCAAATATATATATATATATATACTCCTCGATGTCGGTAATTACACCCTTTTTCTCTTTTTCTATCTCTGCATATGTTTCTTCCTCTTCCACTTTTCGTCAGACACATAGACCACAAGTTCTTACTTCATGCCGTTTCTTTGTTCTGTTTTCCTGCCAAAAGTATTCACTTATCGGCCCGTGACTTTAAGGATCACAAGCCTGCCATGTAATCCAAGGACGCGGGTTCGAGCCTGTCTAGGGGAGCGGGCAACTTTCGCAGTATTCTTAGCCCACACGCCACTGTTTGTCGTTATGCTTTCGCAAAGCGTCAATACTGCGTACCGGCGTACTGCTGATACATTTTCCCCATACCTATCCTGCATGGCTTTGATTACATAGAGCCAAGCAAGTGTCGTTTTTCTTCTTTCTTACCGAATCACCGTCATTCTGCATTGCACTCTCCGCAGGAATCCGACAGGGTCGCCAAGCACGTGCAAAGCAGCCTACTTGCACTGACTCAATCGAATGCCAAGATGCCTGAATTGCCCGCTCTGGAAGGTTGGATCGTCTGACCTGTGCGCGCACCCTTCTCTGGCATCTCATTCCCTGACTGTATTCCCCTTATATATGTATATATTGATATTTCATGCAACATAACGAGGAATGCTTTTATCATTTTTCTTCAATTTCTTGTTTTCTATGTGGAGGCGTTTCGATTGCTGTTCGTCTCTGACTCGTTGAGTCATTCTGCGTGTCACCCTCCAACCTTCAAAGTTACCTATACCGCAGTCGCCAATGATGGACACCCGAAAAACCATTTCGGCATCCTCTTTACATCAAGTCGTGTAAGGGCCGGCTGGTTCTCCTTCCTCTAATATGGGATGATGTTAGATACAAACCACAAGCTCAGTTAGCTTAATCTGAGTCCCAAGCGCGACATTTATCCCAAAAGCTTGAATGGCATGTCCACCACTTACCGCTTTCCTGTCGCCCATCCTTTACCGGTCTGTCCGTTGAACTCCGCATTCTTGCGAATCCTTGGTGTTAATAACGAAAACACACTGAACTCTACAGTCACATTGCAAAAATGAACCGCATCCTCATCGTCTTGTGGTTCAAGCTGTTAAGTGAATTAGCAAACCTTGAATAGTACACCGTTTCTCTGAATGAACCACTAGGAGTAGCACCGACCGATGAATTTCGGTAGCTCGTGTTTGCACCTAGTTCTTCCCCACTTCTTACATTAGCCCGTGGAAGTTACACACTTTCAGCTCACTCTCTCTTATCGGAAAATGGCGATACTTTTCCTTACTGGGTATTCTTACGAACGTCCGCTTCTTTAAATAGCACTATGCAGATGGATGAGCCTTCACCTTGTACTGAATGTACCCGGATCCTCGAAAATCCTCAGTTGTTGAGGTTGGTTAGTATTTGTGCTTAGCTTGCAGAATTGGTCGAACGTTGCTTTGCGCATCTTAGATCATGTGGTGAGGTTTATCGGAACATGATTTACCAAAGGAGATAGTTCCGGAGATTAAGTCTGTTCTGTGAGCCCGCTTATCAAAGCCGCTCAAGCCCGATTTCTTGTTAATAGCCTTAGTGGATGTCTGCACCAACCTGAATCGAAGTTCACTGGCCAGGAGTCAGATGTTAGAGTTGGCCAATGACAACACTTTTGCCTCGGACTCATCCAGCGGGAGCATTTATCTCTATCCGGTAGCAAGGAACTTCCCTCTAGGACTTTTATAGTCGAAACTCTTGAATGGTAAACACTACTTTCCGGGCTAAGTTGATCTTCTCGAAACCCTTGTCTTGCGATTTGTGAATTGGCTTGTCCATGATTCGAATTGCTGTATCGATTATCCGTGTTAGTGGAAACGTAACTAAGGCTTCGATCACTTGACCGGTTAATCGATATGTGTTAAACAATTCAACTAAGATTGCTTATGAGTAGAAGGATTCTGGCGAGTATTTTTGTTCGTCGCAGTCAGCCGACAACTCAGATAAGTCCACTACCTATCCGGAAAAGCACCAGACGGCCGTTTCTCCCTATTGGGGCTCGTCAGTGGTGCGCATCCTCCGGTCCTCTACGGAGGATCGAACCCATGACTGCTAGTGGGTTGTGCCAACTAGCCCGCTGCTTATGCAACTGAAGCATGGAGGACGGTAGCCGACCATCACGAATTGTTAGCTAACTGCGATATAGCCCGACCCATCCTCCACTGCCATGCAGGCACCTGCACCTGTATTACAAATACAAATTCACCCTTACGGATTCCATAAATGCTATGTCGATTCATAGCTGCCGTAACCGGGAAGTCCTGACGCCGGAAGGCCAACCGCTGTCATCTGCATGGCAGTGGAGGATGGGTCTGGCTATATCGCAGTTAGCTAACAATTCGTGATGGTCGGCTACCGTCCTCCATGCTTCAGTTGCATATGCTGCGTGCTAGTTGGCACAACCCACTAGCAGTCATGGGTTCGATCCTCCGTAGAGGACCGGAGGATGCGCACCACTGACGAGCCCCAATAGGGAGAAACGGCCGTCTGGTGCTTTTCCGGATAGGTAGTGGACTTATCTGAGTTGTCGGCTGACTGCGACGAACAAAAATAATTCAACGAAGAGTTGATTTTACCCCATTCCAGTGGATACTTGATGCTGCGCCATTGCGAATCAAATTATACATGAAAGTCAATGGACAATGAATTTATACGGGTTAAGAAGCATTGCTTTACAAGTCCCATTGGGTACCTTGGGGGGGTATCGTAATACTAATAACAAAACTGTGTTGGGCGGAGCGACACTGAAAACAGTTAGTACTTTGAATATGAAAATAAGGTCTTATCGTTTGCTCCGCCGTAGTCCTGCAATCCGCGTCGAATCACAGCACACACAGTTAACATCAACTAAATCCAAGTTACACTCCACGAGTACAATGAACAATGATTTATCACGGGATAAAAGCAAGTGCTTGACACGTCCCGTAGGATGGTTGCGGTGAAGATGATGAAATTAAAATATGTCTGGGTCATCTATCGAACGTTTGCCTAGATGAATAGTTTGATAATTAATATCAGTGTAAAATTAAAATAAATTATCGAGCGTAAATGTTCAGAAAGACACTGGGGTGCAGTGATTGTTGAGGTAAGGAGTGAGAAAAGCAAAATATGGTCGCTGACTTAGGTCCATTTGAACATAAATCCTGTTGAAATGCATCCTTGACGTAATCCACAGTAGGGGAGTTTAGGTAACAAAATTTTGGGAGCTAAGAGCAACATCTAATCGTTTCTTGAAAATATCCAAGGTAGGAGAGGATACAACTGAGTCTGGGAGTGCGTTCCAAGGTTTGCAAACTTGAAGGGAAAAGTAATTCCGTCGACACTCTAGACGGCTGTATTGTTCCTTCAACTTTAAGCAGTTACCCCTGAGCTGCGTGTTGTGGCTAAGTTTCAGCAAATGGCGGCATACGTGGTTGGGCTCACTCAATATTTGATACGCTAATATGAGATCACCACGCAGTCTTCGATAGCGCCCGCAACTTCAGTCTTCGGTGATAAGAGTGATATCGCAGACCCTGCACATTCTTTGTTGCTCTCCGTTGTGGTGTCTCTATCGCTTCTAAGTCAAGCTTCAACCAAGGTTGCCAAGCTTTGATAGCGTATTCAACATGCGGGCGCACGTAGGAAATGTGCATCATTGGGAAGATTGATGGGTCAAATCTCCGGAATGCTCTTCGCAGCATGCCGACATGCTGGTTGCCTCTTTTGGCAGCTACCTCAGCCTGTTTTGAACAGTTGACGTTGAGTAGGATGGCGACGTAGTGCTAAGTAACAAAGTGTGAGTAGATGTGGGTTATCCAACCATATCTTACATACTGTTGTTATCATTGCAGGGACAACCTATTTAGGGAGAGCATTTCGCGGATGATACACACGAATGGAAAAGAAAGTCCTGCGGCACAGCAGACGACTATACTGTTCTGCGTGTTTCAATGAGTGACTCCTCAGGTTTGTATCGCTGCTGAGTTGCACACACGTGATGTGGATCCTGCAGCAGCAAGTAGGTCATTATCAGATTGTATCTTAATCTGAGGTATCATTTCAGCCTTTGCTTGTATGCGGGATTGCTCTTCCCAATAACCGATTTGAGTGCCCGCTGTTGAGGCTTCTCCAGTTCCTTAAGGTCGCGTTTCAATTACGTATGCCAAGCTTGAATTGCGTATTGGACATGGGGGCGAACATACGCACTATCTGTCGAAAAATAGGTTTCTATTTGTCTGAACGCCTGTCGCAACAGTCCGATGTGTTGCTTTCTAGTCTTCCAATCCTTTTCAGATTATCTGAGGCAACCTAAACCGTCTTGAACCAACACACCCAGATCACGTTAAACGGACGATTGCTTCAGTACATGCGTTCTGAACCTGTGTGGATAGTTGATCTGGTTTTGTTTGGAAAGTACTTTTAATTTACTCACGTTGAAATGCACTAACTACTGGATTGATCACCGATATACCGTGTCTAGATCATTCTGGAGCGGATGCTGGTTGGCATTCACCTGCGCCAAATTTTTATGTCGCCGACAAACAGCAAGAAATTTATAGTGATTACCTGTGCGTGGTTCTTAATAAACACTAAAACCAATTGTGGCCCTAGAACTTAACTTTGCGGCACATCAAACTCGACTTGTTTGGGTTCAGATAAAGTGCTCCGAACTCTGACCACAAATTGCCGTTGAAGGAGGAAGTTGGCGATCCACCTTAGAAGAGGGTCACCTATCCCACAATAATGGAGCTAGGAAAGGAGTATCCGAAGATCTAGACGATCGAATGCCTTCGAAAAATCCAGGTAGATTGCTTCGATATATCCAGTGTCAGCGGATTCTGTGCAACTACTGTGTACGATTAGTAAATTTTGCTGACCACCACTGTCGACAAATGCCGTGCTGCTCTGGCATGGTGATGTTGCAGTTTTCCAGATAGTACACCAACGTATCGGCAACGATGAATTCCGTGACCTTGGAAGTCTAGGGAGAAGAGATACTGGGCGATAGTTTGAGGACTCTGTACTGCTTCCGCCTTTGTGAATCGGGGTTATTACTACAAGCTTCCACATAGCAGGTACCTGGTTCTGGTTTCAGCAGCGCCGGGAAAACTGAACCAAAACTTCTACCAGTGGTCTTGTTGCCGCTCCTAGTGCCTATGGTCGAATGATGTCGACACCCTGGGAGCTGTAGTTACGCGAAGACGTCAGCTTCAATGGGAACAGTGATGTGAGTGGGTTCTGGTAACGGGGCGACGAAAGCTGGAAGATCACTTGATGGCAAGACTCTCTGAAACGTAGGGACGTATTGCGTCCGCGACGCGTTTGCTGCTTCCGTAGCCGTTCTTGTTGGGCTATTCTGAGTAAAGGAAAACTTTGTCTTACCTTTTGAAGACCATTGACGTGCTTTTACAGCAGTTTGTGGTTAGCACTGAAGGTTTTTTCCATGTCCTGTTGATATGCGGTTTTGTCTTCTCTGAGCAGTTGAGTACAGCGGTTACGTTGGGCCACGTAGTTGTCTCAAGTTTCTGTAGTTGGAGCTACTCTATCCGCCCTTCATACTGTGTCGCGTAGCGGCAGCCATTTTCGAGTGCTGCTCCTAACGAATGAATGGTTTGGACACATTGCAAACTCTC